CCGTCACGATCCTCTCTTATGAAACTCCCATATTGAGGACAATGTGTTGCTAAGTGTGGAGGGTGTGTATGAATGTTTGAATGAATATCATGATTGGTTGAACCATATATTGCTCGAATCCTCTCGCATGTTTATGAATGTAAGACGTTGATGAATACTTATGGGAGTGTGTGCTAGCGATTGTGTTTGTGTTGTGGCGATCAATGGTCAAATGATAGGGTTTTGGAACCTTGAATGATATTACCCAAAAAAAAATTCAAATTTGAGGGTTACAAACACCTTGTTCCTTGAAACTCCCTACTCAATATGCTTTGATTTTTTAGATGATTAATTTGTTGTGCTTGCCAGGCGATAGTTGCATGATTAGAGTACCAGTGTGTGGATAATTTTACTATCTTCTTCCTCTTTTGTGAGTTGATAATATGTGCGATTTTAGGAAGAACATGTGTGTGGGATTCTCTTACGTCTAGTGAACTCTAAACTTTTTCAAGTTTGTGCATATTAGAAAAGAAAGAAAAGAGTGAAACATCTTTTGAAAATGAGGCTCACGTGGGAGACAACCAATTCTCACGGATTTGGAGTGCCCTTTGAGGATATGCTTGGGGATCGGATAGCTTTACCGTGTTTTGACCATCTTTCATTACTTACCATCTCCCAAGTATCTTTCCTCCTAATGGAATCATATGCCAAGATCCAAAGTACCTTCTAGCAATTCATGGGACGTCATAGCTCTCGTTTGTATCTTACATGTGTGGCAACCCAATTTGGAGTGCAGGCTGGGAAGTGGCTCTCGGGCCAAGACGAATCCGCCCACCAACTTCCCCACATGTGACCTTGAAAGGGAAGGTTATGATTCATCCGCTCTTGGTCGCGAGGGAGAGATGCTTGTTTGCAAAAGAATTGCAAAATCTTGGTGCAATGCGCGTCAATGTCAGAAAAAGGAGACCAATAAACTACAACTCCTAAATCTAAAGAGAGAATAAAGAGCACCTCCAAGAGTTCTAGTTCGTGTTTGTTGTCTGAGAATCCCTTGGAGCACACCTTGAATGTTCGCCTAAGGTAGTAGGTATGGTCCTCACCCAAGAGTTTCTGCTTGCACAGTAGGAAGATAGTAACATTCATTCATCTCCGTCTACTCTTCTTTAGACGGTGCGGGCTTGGTCCAAAGCGGACAATATCGTACTAATGGGCTGCCCAGTTATGACAAGTGGTATCAGAGCCTGGTTGTAGAAGGGACAATCCAAGTACCACATCGGTTGTACAAGGGAAGGAACCCTTGTATATAAGTGTCCAGCTAGCCCAATTAGTACGAGGCCTTTGGCGAGGACACCCAAAAAGTAAATCCGCGCGGGCTTGGCCCAAAGCGAACAATATCGTACTAATTGAGCACCCCAGTTATGACAAGTGGTATCAGAGCCTGGCTCGGTTCGGGGCGGTGGATGTAAGTTTGGTGGACCCTCATTCGGTGACCTCGGGATTTGAGATCTAGTTTGGTTTGGTGGATCCAGAAGAGATCCACGTTTGGGCTTTGGCGGATCAAAGAGAGTTTTGCATTTGGGAAGCAGATCAAAGAGAGTTATGCATATGGGAAAGTCCTTGTACCGAGAAGCCCATCGATACAAGGCGTCTAGCATAGCAAGATAATCGTTGGGGTGAGGACACGAAGTTCGTGGTCCTTGGCTTGAGGGGAGGACTGTTATGGGACAATCCAAGTACCACATCGGTTGTACAAGGGAAGGAACCCTTGTATATAAGTGTCCACCTAGCTCAATTAGTACGATATTGTCCGCTTTGGGCCAAGCCCGCACGAATTTACTTTTTGGGTGTCCTCCCCAAAAGGCCTCGTACTAATTGGGCTAAGTGGACACTTATATACAAGGGTTCCTTCCCTTGTACAACGGATGTGGGACTTTGATTGTCCCATAACAATCCTCCCCTCAAGACAAGGACCACGAACTTCGTGTCCTCTCCTCAAAGATTATCTTGATCCGCCAGACGCCTTGTATCGATGGACTTCTCGGTACAAGGACTTTACCAAACGCAGAACTCTCTTTGATCTCCTTTCCAAACGCGAATCTCTCCTGGAATCCACCAAACAGACGCGAATCATCTTTGACCCGCCAGACAAACGCAGATCTCAAATCCCGAGGTCACCGAATGAGGGTCCCCCGAACTGACGTCCATCGTCCCGGATCCGCCGAACTAGGCTCTGATACCACTTATCATAAATGGGTCGCTCATTAGTACGATATTGTTCGCTTTAGGCCAAGCCCGCACTATTTTACTCTTGGATGTCCTCCCTAATAAATGTCACTGAAAACATGAACTTTCTTGAAACACTTGTCTTAACAAATGTTTTTCATAAAATATTATCAAGTTGTTATGGCATTCATCCGTGCATATTATTGTCAATGGTTAGCACGTATCAATAACTACCCCATCCTAGGACAAGTTTAACCTAAAATGGTGTTGTCATATAGTGGCAATCAAGGTCGTATTCACTATAATCCTGGTACCATAGCCTACTTTCCACGTTGTTGTTATCTAGCCGATCAGTTTAAGAATTTGTGTTGGAGGATATGAGCGAACTACTAGTTAAGAGAGTAAATAAAGATAAAAGCAGGTACTTCAGGGAACTATCCCTCACCCTAGCCTAGGAATACTATGCAATGTCTAGATAATTAGGGTTTATCGAATGTGGTGAGTGAGCTCTTTTTCGTGGGCTTTCGTGGTTATCCACACGCCTCCGAGTACGCCTCCCCTAAACCCATGTAAGTCACCTCAATCTAGGCTATCGTATCTGGGGCAATAAGCTCATAAATCCTTTCAATGGTACTACCCACCGTCCACACCGAGGTTTCATCCCAGGTTCTATCTAGGAAAGCATTCCTATGACAGGATTTCGGTTTTGTTTTCACGGTCTTTTCAAGTATTTAACGTTTAATATTTATTAATAATAATTTAGTATATTTAATACCTGACCAGCTTATAAGAATGGCAATGGGGTAGGTCTGGGGTGGATATCTCGATACGAATACATGTCCAGTGACAGGTATGGTCCAGGTCGGGTAGTTTACCATGAGGCGCAGGTCGAGACATGTTGATCCAATGTGTATGTAATTTATATGGAAAATATTAGTCGTTTTTTATTATAAAACCAAGCAATAAACCATAATATGATAAATGTAGTTAAATTATTGGAAAAATTGAGATTTTCACTAATTTACAACTTTATTATAGCTAAAATATGATGTAATAAAAAGAAAATACTAAGTAATTTGGCTAAGATTACATGCAATATGAGACGGGTCAGGGAAAGTCGGGTTGACGAGAGTACACATGCCTGCCCCGCCCCGAAACAGGCTAAATATACCGGGTAAAACAAGTTAGGTCAAAATTGCCATTCCTACCAGCTTAGAGTGTTAGCGTTAACACATGGTTATTTTTTTATGTATTTTTATAAATTTTTCTTTTTACCTCGTAAAATATCTGACTAAAAAGTTATATTAGCACAATTTTAGTGAAGAATTATAGTATCAGCAATACGAGATTAGATAGTGATGTTTTTACAAAATTGCACCAGTTCTCTATCCGTATTGCACATTTGCACCGGACAAGTGGCATTGCTGATTTACCAGGCACGTAACTTCAAAAATTTACGTGCCACGTGTCCTAAACCCAAAGGATTAATATATGTTTTTCCAAGATATTTTTTAATTAAATGTTTTTTATAATCTGCCCCAAAAGACAAATGACAGAAAAAGAGCTGCGGTGTCCTTTGCGATGCGTTACGGGCCGTTGGTTGGTTTTCGGGTTTCCCAATGAATAAAAAGGATTCAGCTTTGTCCATTCCCTACAGCGAAGGAACTCTCGAGTGAAAAAAAAACCTATAAATAAAAAGCTCTTTCATGTACCACTATGCCAGCTTGGTTCTTATTAAAAAAACACCACCTGCCTGGTTCTTCATTTGCTCTCATCCCACTTTCCTGCACGTGAAACCAATAAAATGTAAGGAGTTCAGCTCAAAGGTAAATTATTAATTTCTTTCTGCTTGTCTGTATTGTCTTGCTCCATCTGTCAAACTAGATTATAGGAACAGTTTGATTTTGATATATTTTCTTTAATCTCCATTAGCGCTTATAGCAGCGAGAAATCCCAGTTCTTCTACCTGCTGCGATGACTGCAATGAAATAGCAGTAGGTAAATTAACGAGTTTGATTCGGTTTTCAATATTATTATTTTCATTAAAAATGAAGTGAATAACCTTTTACGGGTAGCGGACATTTATGGAACATATTTGTTTTTTTTAATGAATTACTTGAATTTAGGTTGATAAGAATCGTTTTATTTTCGGTAGAAAGGATAATAATCCTTTTTTAGGTCACAGAAATAGTAATATTTAATACTAGGTTTTCCCCCCACCATTGACCGGGTTAATTTTCCAGTAATTATTTGACATCATAATTAAACTATTTTGGATTAATTGGTCATTTGGGTTGATGTAGTTTATTTGTAATCATAAATTTTATGTTGATATCATAGAATTCATTGTAAATTCATCTAAATTTTATTTAAATATTGATTTTCCAATGGAGTAAAAAGACGAAAGAAGATTAGAAGTAACATATTAAACACGTTTGATGAAATGGTAGTCTAAATTTTTTTAAAAAGTAATTAATATAATTGATGAAGTTTACCTCATTAGTTTTACAACTAATATCATCAAATAGAATTTTTTTTTTTTTTGGTTGCCGATTGTGTCTTCGACTCGTATAAAAAGATGGTGATCATATATATATATAATTGGAGATTTTCTATTAAATAAATGTAGGAGCAAATTAGTAATTGTGTTGGGTGGAATGAAATGGTTTGTGGATTAGATGATTGATCGTATAAGTGGTGAGGTGACACTAACCTTCGTTTTAAAAAATTCTATTTTCTAAAACAAGATATGACAAAATATAATGATTTGTGTATTTTGACATCCCCTGCAAGAACTACCTGTCCATAGTGAGCATATATACATATATATAATATAAAGGTGATAATAATACATAAATAAGAAGCCTTATATTTGGTCATTTGTCATCTGAAGATACATATTTCTGGTAAATTTCCCAAGCAGAACACTAGATTACCGCTTTTATTGAGTTTGTGGCATTCAGGGTAAAAAATTATTGGATATCGATCCACAACCATGAACTTCTCTTATTGCAGTATTCGGCCATAGACAATATAGGACATTAGTCTCTGAAGAAGGTTGTGGTTGGGCAGAGCACTCCTAAAGCAGCAACTGCAGAGTTTCTGGTCGAACTGGGTCATTCTCCGAGCCTCCAATAGTACCCATAGCCGCGTTGGTTTCATCCCCAGCGTCTTCCTCCATGGCTGCCGCAATCTGTGAGTACACTGCTTAGATTTTCATAGCTTATTCCTTCGGTACATAAACGCTCGCTTACGATGCTTTGTCATCTTAAACAGGCTTTCAGGTATGTTATGGGACTTGGACATACACTTCTAAGGTCTTACCTGCTGTTTCAGGACCTCATTTTCCTCTTTCAGCTTCGTTTCCTGCCAGGAGGAAGAATGGCATGTCAGCAAGAAGTTGGATGGCGCACATGAAAAGAGCAGGGCAAAAGAAAACAGTAAGTATTACCATCGCTGTAGAACCAAACAAGTGTTAAGACGGGAACCTATCACTCTGCCTACAACATGGGAGCAGCTGTGGCACAACTTAAGTTTGACACACTGACTGAATCAGGGCGAGTGCCCATGAATGTTGGCTACACCTCTATCATGGAAATTCACTAGGTCGATTTACCATCCATTCAAATGTAAAGAAAGTACTGGGTAATCTAGAAAGCCAACTAGCATGCCTCCAGCTGCAGAAGTAGTTGACGCGATTGCAGTAGTCAAGCAAGTCGAGAGAGATCGTGTCAACTTGGGAGAAAGAACTTTAGAGATGTCTGAGAGTTGATACCTCTTCCTGGAGGGTCTTCAATGGCTGCAGCATTAATTCCATCTACAAACGAAATTAAGAGCAATGAATACCCTAGTGCAATCATAGTTTCAAAATGATAATTACTCTATCAAACAATGATCTCAAGTAAATTCGTCTTAAGTATTAGTTTTGAGGTGAATATAAGGTTCATAGTAGTAGCAAATTTCACTGATAGGGCCATGCATCAGCAACCAAATTACTCGCGATATATGCCAGACAAGGTTAGTGTCGTTCAACATCGGAGCAGTAGAAACTCAATGTCTACCATAATAAACTAAGCAGGCTTATGATTCATGTTGCAATTAGAACTCAAGAAGCAGCAAACTTGGAGAGTCCCAAGTCAAAGCAGGACAAACCTACCTTTCTAGCTCTTATTAGTTTCAGAGCCAAATCAAGTTGTTCTTCTAGCAGTACAAAGTCATCCAAGGTCAGCTGTACATCAGCTGGATTTTCAACCACAAACCTGCAAATAGCAATGCCACCACTATAAGATTCCAGCCTCAGGGCTAGGTTGGTATAGGAAAAGCAAAAGGTTACCTCTGAACAATTTGCAATAGGACAGTGGGGCAGATTGCTGCAACTTCATCATTGGTACTCTGTACATGAAATGTGATCAAGACGGTTACTTCAACGCTGACATGGTAAACCAGAGGTTATACTGGTCGACAGGGAAGCTTGTATGCTTTCTCTACACAGAAGTAACGGCTGATCACCTCTGCATCATTAACAGCTTTAGAAGCTTCAGCTTCTGTGTGGCTCCGATATCGCTTTAGAATCTCTGTCAAGCTGTATAATTACAGGTATGAACTCTGAGAGAGATGAATCGAAGAGAGAAAAAAATGAGCAACCACATCTGCATAACACAACCTACAAATTGCTAATGTTTTTCTTTTGGGAGCATTATATGTTTCCTCCCTCGTCTATACAACATTCTAATTTTCATAGTGGGCTAGCTAGCTATTCCATCCTTCTGTTTAAACACATCCACTCCTCCATCCTGAAAATTGTTGCTCGTTTCATTTTCCATTGAAGTGAAACTTGCATTGATAAAAGTGACTGCATACAATATAGTTAAAATTTCGTTTTTACTCTTAAAACCTTATGATTTCATGATATTACCTATGAGTTGTGATTCTGATTTTACTACAAATTCTTTAAACCTTGAAATCCCATAAAATCTCAATTTAAAACTATACAATCCTTAAAATCTATTATTTATACGATTTTGTTCGATTTCAAGGATCATGTCGAGGCGGATCAAGTTCACTTTCCCCAACCCAATATCATGGACAACACAAACTTAACCCGAAAGGTGATACTCAATTGATTTAAGTTAACTTCCTAATCTTTTTCTCGACCTCGCGTCAAACCCCCCAACTCCTTCCATCAATAATTATCTTGGTCACCCTCACAATTAGCTCGTTACTTATTTTTTGATCATCCTCGCAATTAGCTCAATCCCCATCCCCTTGCAAGCTTTTGTTCGTCTCCCAAACCTTCAATGTTATCATTCCCGACCTTCATTCGATCAAGAAGGGAATGCATAAATCATAAAGTTACCTTTCTCGGATGATAGAAACAAGGAAATATGGTTGGGGCTAAAATACTTCCAGTGATCCTAAGAATAATGATATTATTGCTCAATCAAATAGATAATGATTCTATGAGGGTGAGGATCTTGATGTTTAATGTTGATCCTAACAATCTTATGTGATATTTTACTCGGACCTAGATTAATTAATTTATATGAGATTTTAGTTTACTTAATTATGTGTTTATGTTATGTACAAGAACTAGTCTATGGATTTATTTGTGTTTAATTAGTAGAAAATTTATCTTCAAAAGTAATTAAGTGATATGGGGTTTATTGTTATTCTGGATGTGTTGTTATTACTATATGGTATTCCCAATATTAATTTCAATATAAACCTTAAAATCTCACAATTTTACAATTTTAATCTACAATTACGATTTTAACTCAGTTTTCGATTTTATGTAAAATCACGATTTTAACTAAATTGAGTACATGCATATCTAATCTAGTGAGCAATATACTAAACTTGAATATAAATGGAGAATTTGACCATGGGCTTCAACTAAGCCAGCCTAACAAGGACTTCAAGCAATAAAGCCCTTGGTGTATGCCACTGATTTATTGCTAGAAGATACAATGCTTTGTTTGGGTACTTGTTCAAAGTTGCAGAGAACCATAACATATAGGCTTTGAGGGGGTTTGCCTCTCCAATTCTAGGACTGCACATGAGACCTCACTTCTTAGAATCCCCAAAAAAAAAAAAACAAGTCAAAAGACAATAGTTCTCTCCTGTTAACCTATTAAATGTTAAGAAAGTGTCTTCTTTGACAAGAGCTACAAGTTTATGCAATAAACTGTGACAGCCAGAGTGGTACAATAGTCAGTCCTGAGATTATACCAATTTCGATGGCTAAGGAGAGCAAGAGGGTGCATTGAGAAGAGAACTGAAGAACAAGAAGGAAATTGAAGAGAGGAAGGAGGAAGATTGGGGAAGAAGGTGAAGGGAACGAGAGTGGAACACAGAGATAAATCTGAGAAAGTTTTTGGTTTATTCCATCTAGGGGTGTGCAACGGTTTGGTTCGGTTCGGGCCGGACCAAACTCATTAGAACCACGGTCCATAAGTAAAAAACATCAGAACCACGGTCGATAAGTAAAAACAATCTTAGGAACAAGAACCGGACCATCCTTGCATTTAGTCTATTTAGTCCATTTTGTCCGGTCCAAATATGAGCTTGGTCCATAATTTCTTCAGTAATTATAAAATTCATGAGAACCAAGGACCGAACCGCATTATACTCGGTATGATCCGGTCTTAACAACTGTTTGGCCTGGTGTGGTCCGATACGTACCGGACCATTGCACACCCCTAATTCCATCTACCACTAAAGTCTAACTCCCAATTAATAAGGCTCCTCAATTAACATAGAGAGTCAACTTAACAACAAGGGGGTTAACAATGCTTGCCTTCATCAAATCTGTATGTTCTATTTCTTGTTTAGAAGATTTTCCCCGGCATAATTAGTCCATCTAGTTCTTTTTTATCATGCATCTACCACATTGGTGATATGCTTCTTCTTAAGACGACTCAGCTATAGATGTAGAAATTTCCACCCCGTGACCTTCTCGAATCAGATTAGAAACTTTAAGCAAGTGCCAAATACCACTACACCTCATATGTTTGTTCCCTAAATCATGTGAGGAACATAGCTCATGGTGTCTAAAGGCTCCCTATCGTATTACACTTGTTGATTTTAGTTAATGCTTCTTGCTAATTTGCATCTCCTCCTTATGGTCAGTGAAACAAGTGGTAGGATCTGAGTTACACGACACAAAAGCATTAGGGTTCGTTTAAGTCTCTTAAAGATATTAGATTAAGCATCCCCCACGATTCTTAAAGGTTTCAAGGGCTGTCCACGCTCTACAAAGGTGACACCTTTCTGGCAAGACAGAAGGCTTCCTTACTCATTGTAGGCCAAACAAGAGTTGTTATTCTCCATGGGAAAATTGAGCTACAGAGGCATTTTCATGTCAATTAAGATTACCTATTTGTATCCCTTTGCAGATTAGATATTTGAATTCTTGAGAGAGTTGAAACTTGTCCTTCCATTAGGTGGGTGAGCAGTGTAATTTCCTAGGGTTATTCCTCTCTTCTCTCTCTTTCATAAGTTTATCTAATGGTGTGTCTGTAACGTTAAGTACGCGGAGTTCTTGCAAAGTGGAACCATGCAGTACCGGACTTTATATAGATCTTCCAAAGAACAAGGCTTTTTCGAATAAGCCAATTCATTTGGCCGAGTCAGTATTAGCACATTTACCTTTTAACTTGTTTGTTCTTCATCACTAACATAATTAGTTCACCCTTATCATAAAAAAAGGTGACACCTTTCTGGTCCTATGAAATCTCACCAACGGCTACAGTGTGTTTTAACTCACGGTACATTGCCATTTCTTTGCATTAGGCCTTTTCATCTCTCGTCGAGAGATACTTCAAGCTTTCATGTGCAAGGCAACTAATTCGTGGTCTAGAGACCTCGAACATTGACACTTAAATGCGGCGGTCAAGCATATAATGCCACCATTTGATGTATATAGAACAACCCCGTCGATAAATCGTGGAGATCTTGTTCTATAATTGAGATGCGGTCCATTTTTTTAAGTATAATAAAATGAAAGTGGTCATATCATCGTTATTTAAACATGATTTGACATAAAAGTAACTCTTGAATTTTTATTTTGTGATAAATTATTTTCAATCATCATCGTTAATCTACTAAGGATTTTGTGTGTCATTTTATAACACGGAGTTTTCATAACACAAATAGGATTTTGATGATAAATATACATGCCTTATTTATGTATATATGAGAACATTGATCAATGATTAGTACTAATTAACTGAAAATATAAACGCCCCACTGTAACCATACTTATTAATTAATCATACACCACAAGTTTATCATATAATATAAGATTAGATCATCTAACATACCCTAATATTCAAAGGCTCAATACACCCCATTGGTTGGCACTGAAATACACCATATTCATGGTGATCTATAACAAACCATCCTTTCCTGTTACTGAGGTGAAAAGAGTGTCAACAAGTTTTTTTACTCTATGCAAAGATTTACTAATTCATCTAGGCGCATCAACTTTAGTACCATCATATAGACCATAGTCATGGTGATCTATAACCAACCAATCATCCTTTCCCGTTATTGGGGCGACGAAAAGAGTGTCAAAAAAGTCTTTTCTCCACTCAAAGATTTACTAATTCATCTAGGCGCATTAACTTAGTACCACTTTAACAACCACCTTAAAGTAAAGTCCTATCCCTTACTTTCAAGCACAGTAATGAATGCGAAAGAGATAAGCGCTTCTAGATAGAATCATGCTTTTGACTGCAGTTTTTTCGGGTATTCTTTTGATTGCACTGGTTATAACTATATATGGCCATATGGGCAGCTTCTACCTAATAGCTATAGTACCATGATAATATGCTTGAGGACTTCTTGACGTTTCGTCTGTTTGGGGGAATTTTGTTATCTTCCTCCTCGTAGATTCTTGGCTACCTACTGAGAACACGACTACACAACCAAGAAAACTAGTATATTTAAAATCCTTTCTTCAAGTTGGAAGGGAGGAGAGAAGCAGTCCTATGTCCAGACAAACAACTGCTTTTAGGTTTAGGCTCATTTGGAATCTCCATAGGATCATTGGCTCCTTCTGGAGACAAAGTGACCACCTTGGCAATTCAATAAATTTATTTCTTGTTTTTATTTCTTTTTCAATGGTTGTCGACGTTGTATAATCCTCTTTTTGTCTATGGTTTAGATAATTATTATGTAGTTGCCACATGATGGAAATTTGCTCATTTTGTTTTTACCTCATAGATTTGAGACTTTAACCACGCTAAATGGAAAGAGGGGAAGTCAATTTGTATGTATGAACTTGAACTCTAGACCTTAATGCCACGAAGATGTTGATATTCTCAAACTAGAAGAATTTTAGCTCCGCTTGGAACCTCCAATTCTTATCGTTATACTCTGAAAATACATGTATTCTACAGAATACGTTCTTTGGCTTGAGTTTTAAATGCATAAACCATGTATTAAGAATACAAGATGAATTCCTTATACACACACAAAAAAATTAGTTGTAGTGAATCTTTGCTTCTTTTGTGTGAGATTCAACTATCCATAAGTTGTATCAATGCATTTTTAGGTTCCAACTCTATAGATTCCAAACAATGCATTCTTAGAATACACACATTCCTATTATACACACATTTTTAGATACAAATGAGTTTAGAATTGGAGCTTCCAAGCGACGCTTAGTGATTATGGTTCACAAGTTTTCCAGAGTATGTATATACAAATATTCTTTTTTTTTCTTTTATAATGGACGATTTAATTTCCACGAACTCTCTACCCTCTAATTCCTAATTCTAAATAATAAATGAATGTCGCCCTTATAAAAAAAAACTATGAATCATGGTACGGTCGGGTCCCCGCCCTATTGCACATGAAATTGGTTTATAGACACAACTATGTGGTTGCCCTATAATGGAACGTGACTAATTTTGCTTCCTTTTTCTTGTAGATCAAGAACATCGACTGCACTAAATTATTTGCCTAGAGTATTGAATATACACATACACAGATACGCTAATCCAAAAGTAACGGGAAGCTGTAATTAGCCAATTTTCTTATTCACTCAATCAAATTGGCTCGTGATTGAGAATAATAAGATTTGATATGAGAAGTTGGGACTCCAATGACAAATAATTTACAAATAGATTCGGATCATGCACATTAGAATTTCCACTCATCAGCACCGGAAAACTAGAGTGCAGATGGATTGTAGACGAGGGGAGCACGTGTCCCGCCGCAAAGTTGAGCGCAACGCACGATAGTTTTTCTTTTGCGATATTTTATCAAACAGATGGTGGGCATTAGCAGTTACCACGCGGAAGCGCAGCAACCAGCTAGCTGGCTCGCCGTCATATTAGCCAATAATGCAGAAGCATTATTACTCTCTACTCGCTCACTAATTGGCGCGCGAGAAATCACGGGATGGTAGCAGAAACTAACTAAAGCAAGGGCAATTCTATCGAACACTGTATATGCAGATTAGACGTACCTGCCGGCGCCGGCGGAGAAATCGTAGAGGCGGCCGCGGGCGGAGAAGACGAGGAGGGCTACCTGGACGTCGCAGAGGACGGAGATCTCGCGGGCCTTCTTGATCAATCCGCTCCGACGCTTGGAGAAGGTCACTTGGCGGCTGCTCTTGTCCGAGATTCGCTTTATCTCCACCTTCTTCCTCCCCATTTTCTGATTTATTCTCCTCGCGCTTATCTCGCCCTACTAGGGCTGTAACTTTGGCCCTTACTACCCGTCAGCCCGACCCGGCCCGGCCCAACCCGGTGGGTTGGGTAGGGTCAATTAGTCTTTAGGGTCAAAATAGGGCCGGGTCACATTCTGACCCTAGAGGGTAGGGTATTTTTGGGTTTTACCCTTAAAACCCATTCAGGCCCATTTTGACCCATTTTAACCCTAAATCCCTAATTACCCAACCCATTTCGGTCCATCCCTTCTTTCCTCGCAATAGTGTCGACTGCGCTATCATCAACATCATCGACCTCTTGAACTCCTCCTTCGGTTCGGATCTGTATCGTTGCCGCCTCTGCTCCGTCCTTCCCGCCGTCGAGAACGAGACCTCTAGATCTGCCGCTGGGTTCGCCGTGTATCGTCTTTCTTCGAGGCCCTAGGGGCGGCATGCCTTTTGAAGGTCATCAAGTCTCTACCGATTTCAGTCACTGGTCACCGAAGGTTAGGTCGGCAGCGATGGCCGTCGTCTTCAATCTCATCGTAATCCTTGTCCCGGCGAGTCTCTATCCCCAGTCCAGCTTCATCGGCAGTTTGATTCGTTTTTGTCTACATCTCTGCAGCTGGTTTTTTATTCCAATCTTTCTTCTGTGGTTGTTGCAATGCTTGTTTATGCAGTTGTTGTAGCTGCTTGACCCAATTCAGCAGTCGTTGCAGCTGCTTGACCCAATTCAGCAGTCGTTGCAGCTGTTACAGGACACCTTGCTGTCCATATAGCAATCGAGGTTAGCTATTTTGTTTCTCATCTGTTTCAAGCTTCCTGCATTGTATATTTGTTGATTTTCTATTTATTTTAGTAGTTCTAGTGTTCTTTACACAGAAAGTTACTATGAACCTATACCACAAACTTGTATAGTTACTATTCATTCTTCTGAATCTTGACTTGCTTTGTTGTAATTGATGCTTTTGTGGATGGGTTTTACCTCTGCGCCTATATCCCTAGTCCAGAAGGTGACTGCTTATTGGAAATCTGAAGGGAAAACATACTACAGATACTCCACCATTCTGACCAACAAGTCGCCCAAGGCATTGAACAGTCTGAAGCTATACATTAACAAGCTCTACGGTCCAATCTGGGGTTTGACGAAATCCGGAAACTCTTATGGCTTCCCATCATGGATCAAGTCGCTGCCAGCTGGGAAAAGCCTCGAGTTTGTCTACATTCATTCTGCTTCTGCTGCAGATGTCTCTGTTTCTGGCTATACATTGGCTTGAGGAAGAAGGTAACGCAAAGAAAAGGATTGGAAAGCAAAACCAGAGACGAATTACGGCATTGTGAATGTAAGAAACTGTGCAGCTATATATATAGTTCATGGAGGAACGACAGAAGGATTTGCAGGAAGGAAGGTCCAAATTTCTCTTTGGCTACCTTACACCCTCCTTTCTCTTTACGTTTTTTACTATTATGGGATTTTCTCTGCAACTATACTATGTAGTGACAGTAGACGAGAAGTGGGGGAAAAGGGTTTCTCCATAAGGTTGAAGATTGGAGGATGAAAGGAGTGAAGATTGGATTTATCGTAAGGTGATTTAGACTTTTTAGATGTAATTTTAATTTTTTTGAATTAATTTTGATTTTTTCGAATTAATTAGGATTTTTGGTATAGGAATTTGGACTAACTTAAATTTTCTGGAATTAGTTGGAATTTTTGTAATCAAACTTTTATTTTTTGAATTAGTTTAAATAATTTCTTTATTTAATTTAGATTATTTTTGTTATGAACTCATTTAAATTTTCTAGTATATACCTGCAATTTTTTGAAATTTAATTTGATATTAAATAATTAAGTGGGCTAATATTGTATAAAAAGAAGTTGGGCCGACCCTATGGCCCGACCCGACCCAGCCCAGCCCGACCCAACAGGGCCATATAGGGCCAAATGAGAATAGGGTCGGGCCGGGTCGGGCCAAATATTTGAGCATACAGGGCTGGATTTTTTTGGGTAGTGACAGGGTCAGGGCTGGGTTTGGCCCAGTTTCACCCCTACGCCCTACCCTAATCGCTGAAGCTCGCGCTTGGTGGAGGTCTCTCTTTTGCTTGCTTTCGCTTTCCTTTTCTGGCCAGAAAAGCGCGACGCTGTATTTTTTTCCGGCCTTTTCCATCTGGAAATTACCAGTGTGGTAAACGAACAGTCACGATAAAAAACTTGGAAGGAAAAGGGAAAAGAGAGCCGATTTACGGAGGGGATAAGATCTGCTGACTAGGCGCCTAGTCACATTGATTAAATTAATTTCATTTTAACCTCATGGTTCTATATAATAGTATTATTTAATGAAGAATGAAATGGGTCCCCTCCATCTTCTCCTGTACTGCTTCCTAACATCTCCCTTCCTTTCACTTTTGTTTCTAAGCTAATTTGCCCCCTGACTCATGCTTGGAAAATTGACATTTTGTATAGCTTGTTCACAGCGGAAATCTGTGGCTTTGATTTTGTCTATACCGTTACCTACGCAGATTATTCCGGATAAGCTGGTATGGCATTATTCTCAGACAGGTGAATACACGGTCAAGACGGGGTATCAACTCTTGTCGACAGAGTTGAACAGGTCGCATCCGCCGCGGAACATACCTTATGAGAAGCGATTCTGGAAAGTCCTTTGGCATCTGCCACTACCGCCGAAGCTTCGTGTATTTGTTGGAGGATAGCCAGGGGATTTCTGTCGGTACGTGAAGTGCTCCAGTTCAAGAGGTTAGTGGATGATAGTACATGTCTCGTCTGTTCTACTGGCAGTGAGAGCATTATGCACTCTTTCCTTCATTGACGGGTTGCTGTAGAACTGTGGGAGCGTGCGGAATTGGGCCTGTTGCGTACAAGGTTATCATCGCTTTCCCACTCTGAGTGTTGGCGGGTCCTGTTCTTTGATTGTCGTCTTAACAAAAATGAGATTGCTAATGTTATATTCTTATGTTGGCGAGTTTGGAAATCGAGATGTTGGGCGGTTCATAAACGGATACAATACTTGGGGCCAGCACTACTTCGGCAATTTCGAGCTCAGGTGGAGGAATGGCGGGCTGCCACAGAGCCTCTTGCCTTACATCAGGGACCCCATAATCGCACTCACCAAGGTCGGCAAGCTGCGTCGGGCGGACAATCGGGCCGCGACGGGGAGTGCCCTCCGGGTGGGGTACTAGTACGGGTGGATGGAGCATGGAGACAAGGAGCAGGAGGGGGTATTGGCTTTGGGGGCTTTTCAATGAATGGTGAATTGCTATTCGCGTTTGGCAAACATTATCCAGGTATCGATGATCCTTTCCTTATGGAATTGTTAGCACTTCGTGATGCAATAAATTGCATGGTTTCTTGGTTGTGAATTTCTGCGGGGATTGCCAAACATTGGTGCGAGCTGTACGAGAGAGGAATGTGGCACATGGACGGGGTGGAGCGATCTTGGAGGAGATACGCGTGGCGGTGTCTTCGTTCACCGTGTTTTCTTGTACTTTTACTCCTCGCATGTTTAACAGGGCTTCCCATTTAGTGGCACAACAGGCCCTTTTATCGGCAGTTCGACTATTTGTCGACTGGCGCGTTTGGTTGTGTGATGTTCTCTGACTATTTATTTTCATCTATCTATGCCAAAAAAAAATGAAATGGTAATTTCATGTAATTTTTATTTATTAATTAAAGTAACATAAAAATTAGGGTCTCGTTGGGTAATTTAACCTCCTCGCACGGGCTATTTCCTAGAAATCGCATTTGGAAAAGGTGGGCAATTAGCTAGAGCTGCAACCTGCAAGTGTTGTAGCAAAACTTATTGCAAAGGAGGGGAAGTCGGCCACATTAAAATTACCTTCTAAGGAGGGGTTGGGTGCGTTTAATAAGCCTTTTGCCAATCCTCACTTTTTCCCAGAGAGAGAGGTTCCCATTTTTCTAGCATCGTCGGCCAGCTATAGCGGACTCTGCAGAGAGAATTTTCATCCAGCGACGACAAAAAAAAAAAAATTTGCGAATGAGAAAATAAGGCACATGTCTATTCTGGTTTGAAGGCGTGTTGTGGTCGAACGAGCGAATTAGAACATACATATCCATATCCGGGAAATCACAAGTCGTTTTCTTACTTTCTAATTAATCGTTTTTCTAGGAGTGGGAAATGGTGCAGTTCGGACCAGATGAACCATGTATACGGCCTGTGATTCAGATCGAGAGATTAGAACACATACAATGGACCAAACCATATACAATATGGACTAGATAATATCACTCCTGTATAGTTCGGTCCGGTATGGTCTGGACTAGGCAGACCATGTTCAACTAAAGTTCAGTCTTGATCATCTATTTGTGGATTGCGCATTCACACAAGGCGTGTGGAAGGAAGTCAAATATGTCTACTTCAATGTTCCTTGGCTGCAGGGCGGTGTTCAGGACCTTATTCGAAGATGGAGTAGCAGGAAACCCAATAATTTGAATGGTTAGGTTGTTTATGGTTGCTTCACGCGATTTGCTGGCAGGTTTGGCGCGAGAGGAATCAAAGAACATTTAAAGACACAAGTTTGCCACATAGTGCGGTGAGTATCAAGGTAATCAAATCTGCAATGGACTGGCTCGTGGTTGCGGGGTAGATTGACAGGTATCATGGAATCCGTTGGTTGAGAGCAAGGTGTGTTTTAGGCCAGCAGATGTTGCTTTGGGATTGCTCCTTCTCGTTTTGGGTTTTTGGTGTGGGTCGTCCATTTTGTCTGACTTCTTGTAAAACACGCACGGCTAAGGAGAACCCGTGCATGGCTCGTGCGACGCGTCTGTGCACGTCTTGCTTCGCACCCTCAACCCGCACGACCGTGCGAGGTGGATCCCACGTCGTGCGGATTCCTCTGCTCCTTGTCGAGTGCTCCAACTTTGTCCAATCGCCCCCAAACTCGTTTCCGAACCTTCATTCACGTTTTAGGACCGAAAATGTCACAAACAAGTAGTGGTGTAACCAGGATTTTATGTAAGGTGGGTTTGAAATTTTTTAATACTGTAAGAAAAGTTAAATCATTCCATGTGGTCACAATGTGTTCTCATTGCAAATGTGATTTCAACACTTGTAGTAGAGCCCAAAGTAGCAACAATGCTAAGTTACTTGTTTCAATGACCATAATTCTAAAACACCGAAATTCTATAATATCTGATTTATTATCTCATCAAATATACATACAATAATCTAGTTGGGGTTCAAAACGTCAATATTATTTTAAAAATTTCCTTACTATGATAAAAAGAAGCTAGCGAGTTTCAATAAGAGAAGATTTGGTGATAGATGACGATTAAATTAAGAATTTGATGATTAAATGAAGTTATATTTTGCTCTAATATTATTTATGTAGAAGTTAGAATGTATTATTTATAATAATGACAACTAATTTATTGTTTAATTATTCTTTGGTGGTAGACATATTGATCAATATTGACTATGTTTAGGTATAAATTCAAAAACATCACTGACACTTAACTATTGTATTTATATGAACTTATTTTCTCCCCATGCAAGCTGGGTCCCGAGACCCACCTAGTTAGCCCTTGGCTCCGCCACTGCAAACAAGCACAACCTAAAGTAAAATAGACCAAGACCAGTCAAATGCCAAGCCAAATGATTAAGAAATGTCGGGAAAAACATGTACAAAATGCAGTGTTATCAGGCACTGTAGACAGTGAGTGCAGTTTACAATTTTTTAAAAATATGATAACACGTCGTGGACTTTTGTTGCAACTTGTACTAGTCAGATATTTTATTATTCAAAATATTTTCTAACTTTAATTGATATTTTAATTTTAAGAAGGACACCCTTATATAAAATTATTGGGTCCACCACTGAGTAGTACATAATAGTATCAAGGGAGAATGAGTAGGGATGGCAATGAGTCGGGTTTTGTCGAACTCAAACCCAACCCAACCCGTTGGGTATCCGCGGTTTCATGGGTATCCATGGGGTTTTGTGGTAAAAAATTTGCAATAACAAGTTCCTATCAAAATAAAATTCAAACATCAATTTCCCCATACAAAATACCCATAGATAAACACTAGTCTAAAATATTCAAACATATCACAATTACACTAGATAAAAGCACATGGAATAAGTGTAGTGAAAGTTAGATTTGGAGAAATTAGAACTACGTTAGGATTTGGGGAGAGTAGGACGACGGAATAAGTGTGGACGGGTATCCATGGGTCGGGTATCAATAAACTCAAACTCAACCCAACCCGATAAATAGTGTACGGGTTTAAACCCGAACCCGACCCAAATCCCGTCAACACGGGTTTTACCCGCATTGACCGAGTTGGGTCGGGTAGGATACTCCTGGGTTCGAGTTTTGTCGACATCCCTAATAATGAGTGATAATAGATTGTATAAAAATATTACTTTTGAAATATAATTTAAAAATGAATATTATTTTATATCACAACCAACCGTATTTATTTCATCTATGCCAAAACTTTAAAATACAAATTAAAACAAAGAAAATACAATCCCACTCATATATATAGTAAGATAAATATTTTAATCCCGCCAAGGTTGTCAACCCGCGGGTCGACCCACTTTGACCCTGACTCGGAGAAAAAACCGGGCCGTACGCACCCGTCGGGTCGACCGCTACAAAGTATTGGGTTGGAGGATAAATTGTGTAATTTTTTTCTTTTGTTTGCGAAACGCGCCTATTTTTCGATTTTTCTTTTCGCCTAACTCAATCTTTGGAATTCTTAGTTGAATACTTGAATATTGATGTTATATAAGTGTGTGTGAATTTTCACTAAATGTTAGATCTAAGTACGACATGTTAATTTAGTGTAATATTATATGTTATTACTCATATGTTAGATGAGATTTTATATAATTTATCAATATAAGTACAATATAATGACTCTTTCCATATGTCCGGGCTAAAACGGGTGACCCATTAACACTTGACCCACTAGATCAACCGGATCTGGTTCAACCCACGGGGTTGACAACCTTGAATCCCGCCCATCAAATTCTACTCCGCTTAAAATCAAAATGTAACACCAACTGGCATGTATGTAGATAGGGGTGGGCATTGGGTGGGTCGGGTGGATTTTGACTATAAAATGCACCCACCCGCGCTTACACGGATTGATAATTTTTAACCCACCACCCACCCACATTTAGTCTCGGGTTGGGTCGGGCGGATGGTGAATGATTTGGGTGGGTTTGTGGGTTCACCCACATCACAATGTATATAATATAAACTTATAAAGGAGTCAACTTGACATGATAACAGGCGAAGAGAGTTATCTGGAGAAACAAGAAGATGAAATAGGGCGAAAAATGTCGAATTAGTTCTTAATATTTTTCTACAGATTGAGATGATTACCAGGTGCAAGGAGCTAAGAAAAATAATTCCACAAAGGAATAGTGATCTAGGCAAAATAATTAGAGGAAAAAATAAAGGGAAGAAGAGGGGATCGCTATTTGGAAGGTTGGCTTTGAGGTTCGAACTCCAGGAGCAGTCATAGTTTATGTCTAACGTCTCCACTCTCCCCTCTCTAGAGTCGACGACTTTGATCTTTTTGCTGTTGGGTTGAGCGGGTCACCCGCGTACCCACCCACCACCCGGCGGATGGCTCCTAGCGCAACCCGTCACCCACCCATAGACCCACCCACTTAACGAAATTCGGGTCAAATGCGGGTGGGTCGGCCCAAACCCGTGGATGATCCGCCCGCATGCCCAACCCTATATGTAGAGCAGTTGTTCGCAAATCAAGTCCCGTGACACATAAGCCACATCCATCCATGTAAGAGATTACATCACCTGCCAAGTGGCACCAATCCATACGCCATACACTCTCTCAAATACTGGATGTCGATATCGTAAGCTACGTTCTTTGGAACCAAAATCCAGCCGGGCCCGGGCCCGGGCCCGAACTCAATCTGGACATCTTCGTTTCCTTTCCTTTCTTCAGGAAAATCAATTGGATGTTGTAATTTATTTGTTACCCCTGTCGACGGCTCACCACCGCTCTGTTTCTGTGGCAGGATTTGAGGGGACCGATATCTGTAAAAGCGAAAATGGACACGTGCTTTTTCGCGACCCCTCTCTAGACTTGGCAGCATGAGATGGAAAGCCAGCCAGTTCGGATCAACTCAAATTAAAGAGAGTCGATCCACTATACCGAAACAAATGAACAACTCATATATTTAGGGGTCGTTTGGAAGTTGCGATTGTTAGTGTTGTATTTGTTAAATACATGCATTGTTCACAATACAACGTTTGGAAGTGTCAAGTTGCAAAAGAATGCATGAATTGTTTTGTGTGGGTCCCACCAACAATCAACAAAAATGAGGGATTGTACAATCTCAACTAAAAGTTGAGATTGTTGTGATTGTTGGTTTAATAATTGAGCACCTTTACTTTTTCCAATTATGTACATAGTTCTTTTTGTTTTATATTAAAAGTGGAGGACAAATATGACATTTTCTTATAAAGTAACTTTATAACAATCAATTCATAAATTATAATCTCAACAACCAAACAATGTAATTTCAAAATGCATCTATTGTATCAATGCATGCATTTATATCACAGTGATTCATAACAATACAACGATTTAACAAACGCAACTTCCAAACGACCCCTTAGTTTTTGAAACAATGCCTAATTTATATTTGGTCATAAATATATTTTATTAATTGAATGGTTGTAGTGTTAGATTTTCAATTAAAAAAATTTATATTTATTCAAGTACTGTTAACTCCTTATCCTGTCTCCTTTGCTAGGTTTAAGGCACCCATTAAGAGAATGACCAATTTAATCATTGTTTGCAAACGACAAAGTTACCAATAACCAAGCGATTAAGCCGCATGAGATAGGGATGGCTACAAAGTTTCGATGGGTTGGTTTTCATATATATTATTTTAAAATTATGATTTTAAAATTGTAATTATCCTCGTAATCAAAACGGTACGGAAATGTAGTATTATAGTCTAAGAGTTATTATAATATTCTTGGAGAACAAAGTGTTAAAGTAAATGAGTTTAGAACGTAGTTATAAAGTATATTACGGGTGAGTTTGGTGCGGATACTTAAAATATTAAAATCAATATCCTCTTTGTCGGGTTTGGGAAAAACCCATCCAGAGATAATATTGGTTGGATTCCCCCATCAAAATCAATTTTGATTGTTATTATGCCATTACTATGGCAATATGGTTACACGAACACCAAGTACAATTATATAATAACGAGAAAAGTACTTTTCATAGAAAATTTAAATCCAACAATAGATCTTGCAATCATCAAGAATATTTTCGGATTTGGTTGAGTATCCACGGAGATGAGTTATTTTGCCAACAATCTAGTTACACCAACACCATGTACACTTATTTAATAACCAGAAAACTACTTTTTCTTAACAAATCTAAATCCAACAATAGATCTCGTAATCATCAAGGATATTTGATCCAGACTTGTAACAATGACATCAAAGATGCATTCTTGATATATATATATTTTTTACTACTCTTGAAATGATATATACTCTTAACTTTTGCACATGAACACATAAATTATTGTAGTATCGATCATCTCTAATTTTTTTTCAAGCAGTAACAAACTAGCTCTTGATGTTCCATAATTTATCTTAAATTTTTAAAATCGACAACCTTACCGGTTCAATGCGACTCCAAACCAAACCAAATTGGTCCAACCTGTCCTCAACTACTATTTTGGTTTTCCCCCAAACTTTCCTGCCCAATTCCTCTTTCCCCATTCCCAGTAGTAAAATCAGTCGGTACATCATTTTGTTACAGTTCATCTCCTCTCCATGTTTTTTTTCTTCTTCCAAACGAAAGCGACAGCAGCCATGAAGTAGCCAGTTCAGGGGCAATTTGGGCGTGCGCCAAGTCGAAGAATTAAAAAAAAAAAAAAAGAGATGGGGAGGAAGAAGGTGGAGATGAAGCGAATCGAGAACAAGAGCAGCCGCCAAGTGACCTTCTCCAAGCGGCGGAGCGGTTTGATCAAGAAGGCCCGCGAGATCTCCGTCCTCTGCGACCTCCAAATAGCTCTCGTCGTCTTCTCCGCCCCCGGCCGCCTCAACGAATTCTGCGCCGGCGACAGGTTTAACTTCACTACTTACCTCCCAACTTCCAATCTTTTACTCAATTAGGTGAAAGAAACCGAGAGTAGGGTAACCTTGGTTACTTTACCTTTTACTACCTATACTTATTCTAATTACAAACTTCCTATACTAAATTTACAATTTGACCTATATCATCTAATAAATATGTTTTAGCTGCGTCTCTATCTTTGCCCTCTGAGTGGCTTAGATGGTTGTCGTATGATTGCTAAACCGATCTCTTTAGATAAATTGCACTTACCCACAAATGATATTGTGGAGAAGAGTGGGTAAACGATGATTCGAATTCTATCCTAGTGTACGACGAAAGAGTGAAAAAGTAATTTCGTTGTTGTGGAATGAGAAGCCTTTGTCTCCTAATACATGTATTTAATTTACTCGGAGCTATTAGAGCGTGATTGCAAATGTTAATCTCTCGGGATCATTTGTGAACGGATAAAGTACTGTTTATTTAGATTGTAAACAAACTAGCCAACAAAAAAAAAAAAAAACATATGCATGAGTTTCATTAAAATATGTTCATATATATATGCCCGAGGTTTTGGTATTAGTTCACTAATTATTATATTTAGCATTGTAAAACAAAGATCAATCATCTGGTTAAAGATAGTGCAACATATCATAAAATGTACTGGTTTGCCAGCAACATAAGAGTAGCAGAGAAGTTGGTGCAAGTACTGCAACATATGGTTTGGTTGTATATATGGAGAGAAAAGAGCTTGTCCCTAGCTAGTGGCATTTTGAGACAGTTGCCACTTGCCAAGTAGGTCTTTTGGACTTGGGAGGGCCGCCCAATCCTCCAACCAAGGAAACCAATAGGGATTCCAAGTGAGCCCAAACCTAAAAATGGATTTGATCCAAGATTTCGAGTTCAAGGTGGATTGAATTTTTCGTTATTCATTATCACTAGGTCGATCCCTAAGTCATATTTTATTGTTTCCTATTTATTAGCTTGGCAAAGAAGTAAGTCTATTACCTTTTCTTTGTTGTGCTTATTGTTTGTTTACTTGTTCTTAGAAGTTGGCTTTTCGTTGGTCCACCTTGATAATCATATGTCCCATCTCCTCGCTCGATGAGTTGTATGAAAAATGATAGATGGGGATTAAGATAAAGATCATCTAACAAGAAAAAAAAATGTCAAACATAGTATTGGTATATATAGATGATTTGGAACTAGATTGTCCAATATTGAGTAGATTGATGCCTTCATTGAAGCTTCTCTTTGGACTACATTTCTTCATTTTGGTTTATCCAACATTTCTCTTACATTGTCAAAGTATTATTAGGGGGTAATACTTTGGATATGTATTAGATTTCTCTTGCATTTAGAACATTGAATGTTTCAGAGTTGAGTTTTTATGGTAGAAAACTTGTGTTATACAAAGGAGAACGTATGTTGTGTATGAGAAAGAGATTACTTATATAACGTATTTATCACGTGTGTTCTAAGTTCTAACCTACCATGCATGCATGCGCAAGGTAGTGTATGCATGATACTCATATTCCCTGCAACCTTTGGTGAAAAAGAATGGAACTTCTTTTCATAGACAATTGTAGAACATTACTAATATGGTTTATGTACACCCTAACAAGAGTAGATTCCCTTGGTTGCCATATTGATGTGTCAATCATAGGTTTCAAGACCATTAAATGGCTCCCTAGCACAAGCTTAGATTAGTCAATCAAGTTTACATCCCAAATAAGTTTCTGATAGCTTTATTCCCAATCAATTGGCCATTTTAAGGGTTTCTCAATGGGGAACCCGGCCCCTATTGTTTTACCAAGTAGAGTCAAACTATTATTGTGTCTAGTGCTTTGAGATAGTTACAGTGTTCAAGAACACTCGCCTAGGCGCTCGCCTAGGCGCGTTTAGTAGCTAGGCGAGGAGGATTCTTGGAGAGGAATGCTGGGCGAAGTTGCTGGGCGCCATAAACGCGGAATTGCGTTGAAGAACGCCTAGGCGGCGATTCCAAGTTTGGATCCGCCATTAAAAGCGGTGGGCGACGCCCAGAAAAAAAAATTGGTTAGATGCTGCTGTGCGTTTTGGATGCTGGCGCAGAAAGGGGAAAACCCTAATAGCAGTCGACTGAGTGGGATATCGCAAGTGTGCAGCAGTCGACCGCTTCATCCCTCCTCTCCAGCCGCCTTCTCCAGCATCGCGGGGATTCGTCGCCAGCTGCGCCACATCCTCGCCGCCAACATCACCAATCGCGCCTCGTTCTCGCCGTCGGTCTCCAGCATCGCCAATCGTGACTCGTCCTCGCCCTCGCCCTCGCCCTCGTTCTCCAGCATCGCCGCAGTTCTCAGCCGACGGTGGAAGATCTCTGGACTAGGGTTTCCATTCTCGACCTCGACAGCGGCTTGGTTTAGGAGTCCCTGAACGAAGAGGAGGTACTGGGAGTTCAGAAGTAATCGGAGTTTTAAAAGCAGTTGTAGAGAGGAGAGGTATTATTTTCGTCAGAAGTAATCGGTTTCCATTATCCAATTGTTTTCACAGAACTTGACCCTGCTCTGTTTCCATTATTCCCGGTGCGGTTATATCGCCGGCGTCCTGGGTTGGAAATTGGAATCTTCGCAATTTTTGGGGCCGGTTGATGGGTGGATTGGTTAGGGCTGAGTTTCTAGAAAGGTATAACCAAATTAGGCAGCCACGTGGTATTGGCCATAACTATAAGCATAAGGAAATTGGCTGGCATTTGTTTTGGTTGCTACTTGCTAATCAGTTTTGGTTGCTTTTGTTTTGGAGGCCAGCACAAGAATCTCAATTATCTTACATATTTATCATATTTTTTTTCCGACGTTTAATCTCGCCTAGGCAACGACTAATCGGCCTGGGCGCTGGGCGATGCCTCCTCGCCTAGGTGACGCCCAGCGTCTTCTTGAACATTGGATAGTTAATAGGCTATGTTAAGTATACTTTTTCTATTAATAATATAAATGTAACTTTGGGCTTTTATAGTTCAAGAAGAAGGGCTATTGGGCTATAGCACAATGAAAACTATTTGAGAATTACTCCTTTCAGTTACCACATGACATGACTTCACCACCTATATGGCATTGACATCCCTTCTCTCTTTAGAATTTAGATTACCATATCATCATAATAAACCCATGATGGTCTAATTGATACTTTTTATTTATTTAGCCACCTTACATATGAACCCTTACATAATTGTATTTCAAGTTGGTAGACTGTTTGATATGATTTTGGCTTAGCGTTATTCGCCACTTTGGTGATAAAGATTAACGAAAACTCCCCTCTGACCTAATCACATTACTGATCCACATTACTGTGTCTATATATGTGATTACTAATTATTACTGGAAGCTATCCACGTTCTATGAGAACCTTTGTACGACTATTAAAGGTGTGTCATTGTTTTGTACATGTAACTCAAGTTGCTTTTATCCTATTAATGAACAATTAAGAACCCCGGTTACTATAACAACATTGTTAGCTCAAGGAAGTGTGTGCCCTATGTGATTACTTGTTTCTTATCTCTGCCTGATTTGTATAAGAAAATTCATGTGCTCTCAAAATTCACATCGTCGTGGATCCATTGTGTTCTTTACTCATAGATTATGATCTCGTTTATTACAGCTTTACAAAGATTCTAAAGCGGTATTGGAGCAGAACTGCTGCCAATGATGCAGAGGTGAGCGGTTACTTTTGCTCTTAATGGGAAAAAACCTAATAACCATGACTAATTTCTATCATGAACTCGAAATTAAGTATCTGATGTCATCTCTGTCTACAGAGTAGCAGTGACGGTTTAGCAGGAGTCTCTCCCGCGGCACTATTGCAAATCATTCAGAGGTAACTGTTGTTTCCTATAGCACTTGCTTTAAGACTGGAATTTTTTAGTGGGGGCATTGTTACTGTGCAGGTATGTTGTTGAGGATCCAGCAGATGATGTCCAGCTGACTGTGAATGACCTTGTACAGTTGGAAAAGCAAATTGACTTGACACTAACACAAATCAGAGTTAGAAAGGTTGGTTCTCTTACCTGCTCTGAACATTCCAGAACATGAATTGATGCTCTGAAGATTCAGAATACTAATGCCACTTCCAGTTCTAGTCTCCAGCATAATTTAGGAGCATTATATGCATTCATCTTCTAGTTCTCAAGGCTTTCCAATGCTATCACTGAGCTAGAAGTTGTTTGAACTCTTCATCCCAATAACCTCAGAGTTTGAATCTGAACCAGGATGGATTTTTGCCGCTCGTTAAGTTATGCCAACTCCTTTGTGTGATGAGTTAGATGTTGTTTGATACGGCAGCTACTATGCTTCAAACGGGTCGTTCCTATTTCTTTTTCCCTTTGATATGGAGGCAAGAAATGAGAAATCCAAAGATGGGTTTGGATGGGGGTATCATCCCCATTACCATTAACTCAACATCTTTGTGTTATTAGTTTAGATGTTGTTTAACAACCTAACTTCCATTATGGTGCTTCGAATAGGTGCTTCAGATTTCTTTTCCTCAGCTAGTCAGAATGCATCTTGCTCTTATTATAGGAAACATGGCCCATGTCTCTTTTCTTTTAGCAACTGATGTTTGACTCAATAATAGGTTTAACTGTTAGTCATCCTCAGTTGCAACCAGGCTATAACCCTATTAGGTCGAAACAAGACCCGTGCTTACATTTTCCAATTATCTCTAATCTTGTATGAGACTACCCATAATAGCTAGCTGGGAGTTGGTATCCTTCAATCTCTAGAGTCCACAGTTGCTATGCTTGCTCGTATCAACTTGTCGGCTGGTTCTTTCAGACTAGCTTTCTTTTGTTAAGCAACCAAAAATGCTTCCCTTTTAGCAACTCGTTCTAAAGCTTGCATCACTTCTGGCCTGCAGATGCAATTGATGTCAGAGCCTATAAAGACCCTCCAGGAAAAGGTATTCCAATCTAGCATGGATTCTCCATCAACTTATCTCGTGTTTTATATGCTTTAACTACTTCACCCTTAGATTCCATTGCCTCATATCTCTCCTAATTGCCGGATTATCAGATTTGGTTACCAGGTTATGCATGTGAATATTTTGTAGTAAACTTTAAGTTAGCATGCAGGGGAACTCTATGGCTGCTGCTCCCGTGTTACTAGTGATAGGGATGCCTCATTTCTCAATTTCTCCTTAGTTGTGCTGCAATACTTGCTATACCTAGATTCTAGCTAGTCTTCCCTAAATACACTTCCTAGTTTTGCAGTAATGGTTACCTAGTTTTTAGCTCCCTCAAGATTCGGTCAACTCCTCTCGTCTTGCTGACTGAATCTTCTCTGCTGGCAGGAAAGCAAGCTAGAACAGGAAAACGAGCTCCTAAAGCAACGGGTTAGACCTTTTTATTACTTTCGACATTCGTTTTGTGACCTTACTGTCAGATATGTTACCCTTCCATTTCACTGCATATCTTTATGATTTTCAATTTGCCCACTTAGATTGCATGAGTCACAACCCTTCGAAACACAGATTATTATATGTTAGCGCAATAAACTTGAAAGTTGAAACAATATGTAGAAGGTTAGGATAGTCGTCGTGTTAGGATGACACATAAAGTTTGAACTTGTTCGGATTATAATCTGTTGACTTTGTAAGCAAGTTACTTGGAGTAAATCATGATAGGTATATATCATATGGTTATACCTTGGATCCACTCCGTTCCACTGCACAAATGATTTCCAAGAGTCTTCCCTTTGAAGTCCTAAAGTCATGTGTCTTTTAAACCATAAATGGTTATATATAGTGAAAATATTAGTATGATTGTTGTGTAAGGATTATATGTGCGAACCGAGAAATGGTCAGTACATTGTGTGACTTGGTTAGAAAGGTACTAGAAGTAACTCAAGAGTTGTAGTTAATATATGGTATGATACATTGCACTCCATTGCCTTAGTGATTTTCCCAAATGTGCTGTTTTAAATCTGATTCTTGACAGTTCAAAATACAGATCAACATAAATTTAAGTTCCAATGAAATCGGCATAATACAAAGAAGGCTAGCAGTAGAAACTTTTGTGACAGGCGTCGATCGTGAAACTATCTTGCTATTATATGCCATTTTACAGTCAAACTTCTAAAACAAAGCCGGCAAGACTAAAACCAAGGTGTGTTCTGTGCTTACAGATTTCTGCAGCGGCAAGCGATAACAACACTGGCTTAGGCACCGTCGAGGGCTCGGAGCAAGATTTGGTACAGCCTGCAACTCTGCAATTACTTCAATAGGAGATGGACTGGAGAGAAGGCTCCCCTGAACCAGAGTCCTAAACTTTGTATGGCAATGAGTTGGCAAGAAGGCTTGAACAAAAATAATTTTAAAAGTAATATGGCTTCTCTAAGTGTATTGTTAATGTATTGATAATAAAGGATAACTGTACTGTTAACTCTGTATATTCTCATTGGAGATGAGAGCAATCAAACAAGGATCATTTTAAATAATTTGTTTCTACGTTCATTCTCATTCTAATCTTTTGAACTTGGGAAAATGCTTTTATACACTCTATAATGATGGGTTATTATTCTCATAGAAGAAGAAAATAATGTAAATTAGCTATATTTGAAACGGGAAAAATAATGACTGTTGAACATAAAATGATAATGATTTGAACTAGACATTTAACCAATTGTTCTACTTCTTCAAAATCATCAACCTACAAATTTTTGGTAAATAAATATGATGATGATGGTGATGATGATACACATCCTTGATACCTCCTGAAAATGGAGCTTTATGATTGGCTTTTGGCTATTTGATAACTATACCCTTTAAGCAATAACATAGAATTTATTTACACTATCAACCAATCATTCCTCACTGGACAATATGTGAATCTAAACCGACCCAAAGAAAAGCAGACCGGCGGCCCATCTTTTAGAAGCACTTGTTCTAACCTAATTCCAACAGGTGATCAAAGGCGTCAACTAATTAACAATAATATAATATCAGAGAAGGAAGAGAAAAAGGAAACCCAGAGTACCTTGAACCAACTTCTTGCATTTTGGGCTTGGCCCTAGGGAGAGAAAGTAACAGAGACAAGTATGTGAGCTTGTGGATCAACTCAAAGAATCTTTTGGAAGCTCGAGTTTCCTTCGTGGTAGGGAAAGCATCACTGGTTCTAGAAAGGAAGGGGAGAAAGCAAAGCGATGTTCTAGTTTAATACTTTTGGAAACTAGCTTAGCTAGAAGAAGAGCCAAAATATGAAAACCAAAGCCCGCCCCAACGTAGGCCTGTTGGGCATCGCCAAAGGCCAATAGTGCATTCTGTTTGTGTACTACTGTACTTCACTACTTTTGGGGTAAAGACAAGTGGCAACGTCTGACGCGAGGCAAGTTGGCAATTGCAAAAAAACAAAAACCCCGCTATATGAGAATTTGGCTATGGTGATTTTTTCCCCAGTAAAATCATCTTTTATTCCAACACCAATAGGGAGAAACAAGGTTACAATATCAAAGGAAATATGAAATTAGGTCAAGAATACTAATCCAGTCATATGGGAGCGACGATCTAGCGAGTGACCGTGCAACCCAATCAGCTCTAACAATAATTTTACGCGAAACCGCAAGGACCACGACACCATATGCCGTCGGCTGGGAGTCGCTTATGAACAACCCATCATAGTGAATCACCAAATGGTGATTGCTTGGCGGCGGAGAAGAGAGTGAGTGGGATCCCCTGAGCCGAGGAGAAGGAGAGACTAAGGGGGGAGTCCTCGGACACGTCGTCCATTCCATGAAATCCTTATACGTTTTCACAATAACGTTCGGATGCCAAGGGATCCGATTCTTGAAGACACATTCGTTCCTCGCCTTCCAAATATTCCAGCATAAGAAGATAATATGGGTCAGGGCTCCTGGGTGGATAACGTCCTTGAGGTAGTAGAGCCAGTCAAGGAAAGCTGTAGCTTGAGCCGGAAGTGGAATGTTAGAAAAAATGGTGTTCCACGCTTCCTTAGCATGGTTACAAGAGAAGAGGCAGTGGAAGAGTGACTCGATGGGGTACTGGCACACTTGGCGCGTTGAGTTGGGGGAGCATTTTCTGTGGAAAAGTCTCTCTTTCGTTGCAAGTCCATTCTTGGAACACCTCCAGATGAAAAACTTGAGCTTAGGGGATATCTAAATTCCACATCCATTTCCATTTTGCTACATTGTCCATCGTTTGTGTTCCGTCGAAGACAGGTGGACAGCATTATAAGCCGACTTAACAGTGAAATTACCCTTTTCATTCAGTCTCCATTCCCAAAAGTCATCAGAGTCTTCTTCCCCAATCGGGATCCTTAGGATAGCTTCCATTTCAGAATTTGAGACATATCCCTCAATATGCTCTTTTAATTGGGCATAATGCAACTGCCCTTCCATATCTTTCACCTGACCACCCAGATCACCATATACCTCTTTATTAAATTGTTTTAATAACTTTTTGGCTTCATTCAATCTGGCCTTTACAGCCATAATAGGAGCACCCTGCACTTCCAGATCACCTGGCCAAACGTATGCACATTTGGGGAATGATTGGAAAGTTTTAACATTAGTTTGATTGGGTGAACTTTGACAGCTTTTGCTAGAAAAGCTCGAGCCATTGCTTGATTGGATGGAACAAATGGAAAAAGAAGATGGAGTGCAGAGTTGATTGATAAGATATATAGTGACATGTTTGTCCAACAAACTAGAACATAAAAATGACAAGAAGGTTTCGTTGGATTTAAGAGTTTTTTTTCAATTTCAATTTAAGTGACTACATGGTGTTGATTAGAGATGTTGGATAGATGGAGGTTTTTTCGTTGAAAGAAGAAAGAGAAGGACAAACCAAAATGAAAATAAAAAGTAGTACAAATAAAAACAAAAAGAAATTTTTAAATTTTTAATTTAATAATTTGATATCCGCAACAGATGGTTTGACAAGTCGATTTGGAGCTGTAGTGGAAGCTCTCTATCTCATCTTGTCAGTTGTCATTCATGTTTCTAATGACACATTTAACGTTATTAATGTTTCTTCTGAAAAAGAAATTTGTCCGAAAAAATAGTAAAGATTACTATATTCTCACTATAAAAAAATGGTTACATTGTCACAAATATTTAGATTTTAGATATGCAAATATTACAATGATTTTTATTTTTAATATGTCAATTAACAACTTCATTTCCCCTTTCAATCTCGCATTTCTTCTTTTCCCTGTCCATAAAAAGAAATTATATCAATTAATTTTCTATGAAAAATGAGATTAATAACTATAGTCTCTGATATAAAATATGGGTGATATAATTTTTTAAGTTATATGAGTTAATGATGGAAAAGTATATAAATGCGAGTAAAGTTGAAATAATGACATATGTGAGTATATATAGATTAAACACTTGGTATGTACTATTTATCAAATATTATTTGTTGATAATTCATGGTGCCAATAACTAGTGAAAATTTTTTAATATGAAAGATATATAGAAATTAGTAACTACCAATTGCCGATCACCAAAATACATATGAACTAATTAGCTTTGTCCCCGGCCTGTTGGTCGGTGAATTTCATATCTTATCTTGTAAATTAAGAATTTCATGATTACTCTTAAATAATTTTAAATCTTCTACTCATTAATGTTTTCACAATTCATTTTGAATAATATATTTGTGATCTCTTAAGATAGGATTATTAGATCGTAACTAAGTAACTCATGTTGATTTCAAACAAACAATCGACATTCAATTAATGGTTTAGATTGATTTGAATGATACGTATTTAAGGTCTCTGAGATAGGCTTATGAGATCGTAATTGAGTAAGTGTTTATTTTAAACTAACAGTTAACATTCTATCAATGATTTTTAAATTGACTTAAATTATACATATTTGTAGTCTCTTGAGATAAGCTTATGAGATCGTAACTATTAATTATTGATTTCAAATTCACAATCGCATTTCAATTAATAATTTTTAGATTGACAAAAATAATACATATTTGTGGTGTATTGAGATAACTTATGAAATCGTAACTAAAAAAATTGTTCATTTCAAACTAACACGTTTTCAACTTAAATGATACATATTTCCAAGACACTCATTTACTACTTAATGAATACTGGCCTACAACGAAATCTATCATACCCACATGTTAAATAACAATAATTACATACACATATAATGTTCACTAGTTTTTTATCCGCCCGTTGGGCGATGCATTATATTTGATCATTTTATAATTCTTTATAGTATTCTAATTGTTATTATTATTTATGTTTGTTGATTTAATATACATGAAATTTTAAATCTCACTTACCTTATTTAGGTAATGTTTCATACTTTTATACCTTTTTTATTTATGACAAATTTAATTGTATTAACTGAGCTCTTTGTAGACCGTTCTTTATCGATTTAAAATTTAGTATCGAACTCAAAAAAGTGATAAAGAATTTAAAAGATTTAAGGTAAAAAACGAAGAAGTTAGAATAAGAAAATAGGATTCAATTAATAAAAAAAATAAGTGAAGAGATTTTCATTTTATTTCTTTTCTCCTATGCCGGTATATGATAATAGAGAATTAATAATGTATTATCAGTTACACCTGCAATTCTGGAATAATGATGAAACACATTAGCATCCACATTCATCAATCTTCTGCATACTCAATTAATTTATCTTGTCAATGTTCTAGCAAAACCAACCACAAACAGAACTATCAGTTGTCACTAATTTATTAAAGCAATATTTTCAGCAAACTAAACTGCATATAAACACAATTTATAATTTATAGAGAGCTACATATCTCTTAAAGAAAAAAAATGGTGCTTTTTACCTAATAACAACATAGACAAATAATGAAAGGAGCATACTTCAATACAACTCAACTCATTCTACCTTGCAGATTCCTAATTTGTTAACTGAATCTATGCACCAATCAAAATAGTAGTTGGTAAGAAAACAACCATGTCAAAATCAAGCTTTAGTTGAGGATTTAATGAGGAAAAATTCACCCTAATGAAACAAACAAATGTCATTGCAAACGTGTAGGAATTGAAACAAACATCAAAATATACAACCGAGGAACCAACACCATCATTTTCTTTCTTCGCGACCTTTATAAAACCCTCAATTATGTTCCCTTCTACTTGTAATCCTTTTGCTACCTACTAATTACTAACCAGATCATCATCTTATAGCTAGTAGCATGTCAATCATGAACATAAGGAATATAATGAACAACCCTCACAACTCTACTTTCCATTTCAACATCTAAGAAATCGGGTTGCAATAGGCATTTAAGGAAAAGATCAATTATTCAACCAAAGGAGATATGTCCTAAGTCCAACCAATTATCCTTTCTAATTATATATTACCTATTTACATAAAAGTATATGACGTAATAGAGAACATAAAACAACTCCGTGAAAACGAAGAAGAAATACATTCGCTCATCGAGTGGGGAAATTTACCATCCAACAGTTTTAATTTGGAAGAAATTAAGAAAATAATGAAAAAAAAGTGAGTAGTTGCGAGCTTCATATCAAGGAGGAAGAGGGAGCAGTCGACAATCCTTGGTTTGGCTCACCTCGTCTTCGCAATGATAGGAACTGCTTTCATTAACAGGCAAAAATATGTTACAACTGCTCGAAATTTTGCCATCTAATCGTTGCCTCGTGTACCTCCCCCCTCCTATTCTCCTACAAAGAAAAAACAAACTTCATATGCATCACCATTTCCTTCTCTATCTAATTTCTTATTTTCAATGCTGGATTTTATTTCTAGAGAGACAATCAGAATGGGAAATTATAGAAATAAATTAAAAGGTTGCATTCATAAATAATATGTTTTTCATTTAAACGGAATGAATAAGAAGTATTTTTAAAAAATAACAATTATTGCTATGTCAAGTTTATCTTCAGACCTTTTTCTACATAAATTATGCTTGTTTTTATTTTATAAGTATATTCATTAGGAAGAAGTGAGTGTTTGATAGTAAAAAAAAAAAGTCATATAGTTCATTTTTCAAAAATGATTGATTGTCAAACGCTTATTTTCTCCTAGGTCATTGTTTAAATTGTGTTTAATTAAAAAATTATTATTATTCATATGTGTGCTTGTTTTTTTTTCATCAAAATGTAACTTATTACAAAGTTTTAGTAAAAATGAATAGAAAATTTAGTTAATGAGATTTAATAAGATATTTTTGATTAAACAAACACGATATATGTCACTCTCTATTTCATCTTGATAGTTTGTTTAATTGAAGAAAAGATTATTACTTATGTGTGCTTGTTTGTTTAAATGTTTCGCAAAAAATGTAATTTATTTTAAGTTTTAGTATAAATGAGTAGAAGTATTAAAAATGTTTCGCAAAAAATGTTTGATAAACTATTGAGAGTGCCCCAAATCAATTAAAAATGATACCATTAGTGGATTACATAGTGAGATCAGCTTATCGATTTTAGATGGATAAGAAGGAAGCACAAGAGGGTGTGGGAGAGATATATTTCCCAATCAATTGGGACCAACTGTGGATGCTGCAAATTCCGCCTTAGGTGAAGATCTTTTCTTGGCGATGGATAAAGAATCCTACCTACGGGTGGTAGCATTTGGGATAGAATAAAGAAAGATTGCGAGGAATGCCCATTCTACGGTTTAAGAGAAACCCAATTGCATCTATTTCAGGCAGTGGCGGAGCCACTCAAGGCCAAGGTGGGTCATTTGCACCACCTTGGCCCAAAAAATGTAGAGCAAACATTTTTATGGAATTGTAGATTGATTGTAAAATCTCCATATAATCATAAATATTTTATGAAAGTTTAATTTTTTCTACTCAATATTTAATTTTTAATTCATATGTTCCGTAAGTGAGTTTATTTTAAACAAAAACTCGAAACTTAGGGGTGGTTGTTGCTATAAGCCATTAATGCAGTTGTTGAAAGAACACTTATTGCAATGGAGAAAGTGAAAAATTACTTTGGAATAAGACAAGTTGTGGACTCGTGAAAGATTTTTCATTGTGATATCTTAATATCCTTCATAATTTGCATGATGACTTTATTTCGAAAACAATTTAGAACATAAACACATACTGGAACTTAGTTTATATTTTTTTTCTTCATATGTTGACCCACTTTAGATGAATTTCTGGTTACGCCACTGATTTCAGGAGTGTGGGTGGGTGCGTAGGGATTGGCGACCTAGTTTGCTAAATTATCTATTTGAAAAGGGTCAAGATCTCACATTCAGCAATGGATGGCAGAACTGCAGGAGTCGAATTCGGAAACTCTGCTTGGTCAATTTCTGGTGGCCCTCTGGTTAATATGGGACGAGAGGAACAGTCAGCTTTCGAACAAAAACAAATTGGAGGAATTCGAAATAATGGGGAAGGCATTAGGATGGCTCGCAGAGTACCTTGAATACCAACAATCGTCGGCGAGAAAGCAAGGAAAGCGAGCATATCACTGAGAGCCTCCTCAGTTGTCTGATTTCAAGGTTAATGTGGATGTTGCCTGTTTCGATGGTCAAGGATCTGGTTTTGGGATGGTGATTCGAGATAAGGGTAAGAATTTATGCTTTGCGACTATTAGAAGAAGCTGGATCCAATGGTCACCGGAGATGGCTGAGTGTTTGGCGATAAGATGGGGATTGGATTTGGCGGTGGAGCATGGGTTGGGCAGATGTGAGATAGAGACTGATTGTTTGACGATCGTTCACCGTCTGCACAGGGAGGAAATGACGATGACATAAGTGGGGGTAACGTGTGAAGAGTTGCAGGATCATCTTTCGGAGCTGGGCTCGATTAGAGTTGGCTTCTCGGGCCGGCTCAGCAACCAGGCCGCACATCTTATGGCCCATACCCAATGTGGTTGGGAAGAGACAAAATTTTAGGCCTCCAGGCCTCCTCTTTTTTTGGTTCCCAGCTAATTGCTGATTCCTGTACACAATTAATGAAATAATACAACCTTTTCTATTAAAAAAAAGGAAATGCAAATCCTAATTATTTAAGAAAAAGAATGAAATCTTCTTGTTTCCTTCTTTCACATTTTTTCCTTTAAAAAGAATTCTACAAAATCTTTGAATCAAATCAAGAAATTAATCTTCTTCTGCTAAAAAAATATATTGTGCTTAGAAATAGTTTTTTTAAAATGAATTTAGAAGAAATAACATTTAAAAATGGAAATTGCTATATTATCATGGTATATAGGGTAGATAGAATTGAAATAATCATAAAAATACAAAAGGAAAGAATGTCGATGAAATTGTGTATTCTTCTCGTGTATATATATAAGTGGCTTTCATTAGAATAGTTCATCAAGCACTCAATATAAAACTTGTTGGAGGCACAAGAAGTTGGGAGAAAATAGCTTTCAAGGAAAACATGGAAAAGGCTGGGATAAAGTTTATTTTTTTCTTTGCTCTCCTACTCTTCATAGCGGGTATGTATTCAGTCGGTTTTACTTATAACATTGTATTTAAAAACTGAGATTTTCGTGTGTGTATATACATATTTTTCGTGCATTGATTAAAATAATTACTTGTATTGTATGTTATGATGATTTTAAGGTACGGAGATGAGAGTTGCGGAAGGGAGGGGACCCATTGTTTCATTCAGATGCAGTGAGGCGAAAGAATGTGCTGGGTGGTGCATAGCTGCTGAATGTCAAGTTTGTGCTTGTTCAAACCACAAGTGTATTTGTAATGCTAATGCACTAAATCAAATTATGAATCCCCCATCCCTCGCACATTAATATAAGATAATAAAGTGAAAGAAAAATACATATTGTTTTTTTAATTTATTATTTCACCTATCTATTTGTTTTTAGCATGGTCCATGAAAGTTGAAACCGTACCGGCTGTTCAACCACAAAATATCAGTATCCAGTGGCGGACCCATGAATTTTTCATAGGGGTGTCCTCTTTTAAAAATAAATTTAAAAAATAAAAATAAAAAATAAAATGTAAATAAGAAAATACCTTACTTGTACAGGTAAAGTCCATTATGTGTTTTCATATTCTGAAATAATTTTAGAATACACTTGGTGTCTACAATGTTAAAAAAAATTGTCTCTATATACCCTACTAGACAATCATTCACGAACTTATCGCATATTCGATTTGTAAACTTGTTCTTGATGTAACCCAAAGCTGAAAGACTCTTTCTAGCACTTGTCGTACAATTATAAAATCAATACAAATTAAGGGTATGTTTAAATTAGTTTAATTGCTAGGTTTTGAAAATAATTAGAGATAGGTAATGCGGTGTTCAAAATCGAACAACAAATGAGTTGTAGTTTAATAAAAATTAAGTGTATTAATAATAATATTGCTTTAGGTTTGAATTACCCAACCTACCACTTATATTCCATACACAAATTTTAAAAAGACAGTAAAATAATCAATTTTTCAAATTTCAAGGATGTCCCTCACAATCAATTATATATTTTTATCCATACGTAAATTACCACCGTGGATTGAATAATCATTTTCCCAAAATTTAGGGGTGTCCCGGGATACCCCTAAAGCCCTGTGCGTCCGCCCCTGCCAGTATCTGAGGCTAAATCGGTTGGTGGTATTTAATGATGTAACAGTTGAATTATGATTAAACCACGATTTTATCATAAAATATCACACCACTGACTTTTTCGATACGATATCCATTTCGGCACTTTTATAATTATTATTCGCTGTCTTTGCTTTTTGGTAGCCACCTTTATTTGGCTCCAAGTCTCCAATCCATCTCTGAATTTCTTGCTATCATATAGTTTCTTTGTTTATAGTAGATACACAGCCAATGTCGTTGTTGACTCAATCTAACTCAATTTCTTACTGCATCTATTCCTATCTCCAATTTTGACATTTTTCAACTAGTTCTGCTCGACTAGTTAGACTCAATTACACATTCCATTATCACTATTTTTCATTCATAAAGTATTCTTCGTTTCGTTTTATTGTGAAAAGTAAAATTTTACGAGTATATTATTTTTTAAAAAAATAACATGCAAAAGTGGGTCAAACCACGCCATCCCGTCCCACGAGGGTATTACTCACCCCGACCCACAGTAACAAAGGACGAGGCATGAATATTTAGGTACCCGCCCCGCTCCATTGCCATCACTGCTTCAGCGTTAATTCTCGATAACTATGTTTGAAAAACATAGATGGGTTCCCATGATTGATATTTGGGGTTTTGTAACGGATATGGAGACCTAAGCCAATCCCAACCAGCCATGTGTCGGGCTTTGGTTAATGGGATTCAAATGGACATCAACACTATTGATTAACCATTGCTTCTCATATAAATGGAAAAACCCTAAAGAGAAAACAACTGAAGAACGAATCTTCTATGAGCATATCGTCGAAGGCGAGCCAGGTTGAGTTCCACCAGAGTTGTTCAAGAAATCTACTTCAAGCAAGAAATCAAGAGCACGAATCTGGTGGAAGCTCTTCAAATTTATCTTTTTGTCACTGGCTGTGGCTCATACTCTATGGATCTGCAGAATGGCCAGGAAAACTTCATAGATATCAGGATGTGGAGTTCTTTTAGAGAGACAGAAAAGGGAAGAATATTGTTGCAGACTTGCAGAGGAGAGAAGGGAAGTCTACCAAAGCTGAAAGGAGGAATGAACAGTTCTTTTGGAATTTCTGATGCAGGCGGCGGAGGTTGTTGTGCAGATGAGAGAGAGAGAAGGTGAAGGCAAGAAGTGGGAAGGGAAGAGAGAACGAGGGATTTTTTTTCTCTTTAATTGGATTTATTAATTATTTATTTTACCTAAATATGATGTGGCAAATGTATGATGATTTGGCGTTGATGTTGTGCCCACGTGGCGTGGCGAATCTAGGTTGACATGACGTGTCGCCCACGTGGCATTCACATTAACCTAGCCTCCATTCTAGTGACAGATCCATTGACCGCTGTTAAAATATTTGACAGAAGTAGCTAAATTTGTCATATAAGTTTTAAAAGTGTAGCTATTTTAGTATATTTTTCAAAAAGTGGCTATTAATGTAAAAAAAATTAATAGTTATGGTCATCCAAGTGTATTGTAGACACCATATTTTGTTCAAAGAAAAAAATAATTAAAATCCAAAATGATAAAAAATAACGATCAATTTAAAACATGAAATTGGAAAGAATTGGTTGAAATTACCAGTGGCTTGTAGTCAATAAGTACCAATGATTATCAAGTTCACTTACATTTAATTTTATCAAGTTCACTTATATTTGATTTGTTTATTTGATTCTTGGATTGGCAATTAAAAAATTGTTTAGATCTAAATTTTAGCTAGAATGATCAAGGTTTTGACATTTGGAATTTTCAAAAGGTTTGCCCGTGGTTTGAATTTGGGTTTCGGTTTATGATGGAAGGGGTCGAAAGTGAGTAAAAAGAATATACTTCTTAGTTGCATAGTATAGTACACACGGATATTCATTGGGCTCTTACCCACAAATGATTACATTTACAAAAAAATAAAATAAAACAAAATACAAATGACCCAAATCAACTTGGAACACAATTTGCGGCTTGATGAGCCTAAGAAGGGATTCGAACGATCAGAGTACACAACTAGGGAAGCTGTCTTCGAGGGGGTGATGAATTCGTGGTAAAAACAGAGGGGATGGATTGATGAATGGGGAAAACCGAACAAGCAAATTCAACACGAGGGGAAGAGGCTAGTTAGGGTAGAGATTACCACAAGATCGAGAGTGAATGACTCGATCTCTAGGTCTGCAATTCTCGAACAAAACAATGAACAATTCAGCTTGCAAGCTTGAGGAACTCCTCAGAGTAACTTTTCGATTAAACTTAGACGTCTATTACAAACCAAAGTAAGAGCTATTTATAACCCACTAAACACAATTACAATCCTAAGAGAACAAGGAAAGAAACCAACAATAATCCAACTTAAATAAGGTTACAAATCGGTCCAAACTTCCTTTTCTTCAAGCACAAGTAAACTGCCTCCTTGCACAGGAAGGTTGCTGGAAATCAAGCTTCGTAGCATCTTTCAAGCTCTTCGTTGGAAGCCTTCCAGGCTAGCTTTCCCTCAGCCAATGCCATGTCTCTGTAGAGTAACATACGTACTCTCATGTGGTGTGAATCCCCGTACTCGATTCTCATTCCTGCTCCTCTGGTCGAGCTCCACAGTAGCAGCTGGCACAACTTTCCTGCCTTAGCAAAAAACAGACAGTTTTCAGACTGCAGGATAGAGTTTTGAGTAGCTTGAAATCCAACCCTCCTGGCCTCCTTTTCACGATCCAAATAACCCAAGTTGTAGAGGAACACCCAAGTTTTAGAACAAGCCCTTGACTTGGCATTTTCATTAAACCAATTGGAAGAATCAAGTCTACAAAGTAGAGCTCCCAAGTCTGCTTCAACACTTAACCAATTTCCAGCTTTATTCTTGTGAACTTGGTGTGATCTTTGCCCGAGTATTTGGAACTTGTAGATCGAAGAAATTCTGATCATATCATGGCTTGTAGCCCATCACTTGGAGGCCTAAACTAGAAGCATCCAAATAAAGAGAACAATGAGTTCAAGTCCAAATTCAAATCATACAACAAATTCAGGCCCACAAATTTTAACCCATTTTAGGTCCATCCTAGTTGACTAAATTTCGCTCCATGCTTCTCTAAAACTACATCTCCTTGCAACCCAGCCTCCGAAAAACAAAACATGGGGTAGTGGAGCGAGCTCGTGAAAGCTTAGGCCCTTTTGTCAAAGTCGCGCAGTGATAACACCTAAATTGGTGTTATTTACCCTTCATATTAAGGTTTGTTCCGTGCCAATTCATGCGCATAATTGCTTGAACATCATCAATTGCATCCTTATTTCGTTCCTATCTGAACTCGATGTGATTCTAGGGTGTTTTACACAATACATGAAAATTAGGTACAAAGCAAGGTCACAAGTGTAGCAAGGGGACAGAAGACTGAAGATCGTGGCCTAGAAGAGAAGATCACGACCGAGATCATGGCATGCGAAGTCAAGTTAAATATCGCGGCCTGGAAGCCCAAGATGCGGCCGTGAATTGGAAGGCTATGGGGGCGAACTTCGTGAAGAATCCATCAGGAAGAAACAGAGAGTTTCCTCAGTTGGATCATTGCCATAGTGCAAATTGACCGCGTGGAAGATCACAACCACAACTCATGAATCGAGACTGTGAAGTCAGCCCACGATCTCCTCTCTACCGAAGGCCAAAATGATTACGTCACAAGATCGTGGCCTCGTCATAGAAGATCCCGCCTGCTATCTCGACCCTGCCTGGCCGTGTAAATCATCACTGGATTGTAAGGCGAAGTTGGTTGAAAAGGGGATTTTGTTAGAAAATGGAGAAGTTTACAGGAGGTTGATTGAGAGGTTTCACTATTTAATAATCACCAAGCCTGATGTTGCATTTCCAATACAACAATTGTGCCAGTAACAAAGGAATCCTTGTAATAAGCATTTGCATCCAGCCTACAGAGTTCTAAGGTACCTGAAGAACTCACCAGGATAAGGAATTCACTTCAGTAGCACAGCTGAGTGAAACTAATTGGTTATAGTGATTCTGACTGGGCAAGTTGTATTGACACCAGAAGATCTGTAACTGGATATCGCACATTTCTTGCAACTTCTCTCCTCACCTGGAAAACAAAGAAGCAAACAGCAATATCTAGATTATCACTTGAAGCAGAATACAGGGCCCTTGCACACTTAGTATGTGAGGTTGAATGGCTAAGAAGACTACTTGCTGAGTTGACAATACAGGTACCCCTACCCATTTCCATCTATTGTGATAATAGGTCAGCAATTCATATTGCATAAAACTCTATTTTCCATGAATGAACCAAGCACATAGAGATAGATATGCATGTGACTAGGGAAAGGATCAATAGTGGACTAATTAAGCTGCAGCATGTTGGAACTACAAATCAACTTGCGGATTTGTTCACTAAAGGGTTCAAACTTGCTGAGTTGTTGGTCAAGTTCAGACTTGCTGAGTTGTTAGCCAAGTTGGGGATTAAAGATGGAACTCAATCGCCAACTTGAGGGGGGATGTCCAGATATTGAAGCAAGGCTGCTGCAGAAATATGCAGAAGAAGAGAATCCGAGACTTGCACGGATTGCAACAAGAAGAAGAAGGAAGGTTGGAAATACGATGACGTTTTGTTTATGTTAGCTTTCCTTATTGTTGAACGTTGTCGTTTTATTTATCGTAGTTAGCCATTAGCAAAACGTTGTTTCATTTGCTAATTGACTAGTAGTATCGGGACACCTGTGAGACAGTTGTTAATTTCGTTTCTCCGCTATACAAGAAACAGAGGACTCAGCTGGAAAAGCTTCAGCTTCCTCTTGCCAAATTACTTGCAAATCGTCAACTAATCAACCCATATTGTTAGAATTTGTTCGTATAATGTATAAATATATAAGACATAGCACCAAGGAATTGTATATTGTTTCTTGCCATGTTTCCATTTTCACTATGTCTGCGAGGCCGGCCACGATTGTTTGTTCGGAGTTCGGAGGTGAAGAGGAAGGGCGTAGCACCGGTGTGGCGGTCGAGCTGCGAAAGCGGGCGAATAGGTGCAAAGTGCAAGAAGCGTGTGCGGCTTCCGGAATTCAAGTGCAAGTGTGAGATGGTGTCTTCGGTGGGCATCGGTTGACCGCCGACAACAGTGGTGGTTGGGTGTTACGGATTAGCGGTGATTATTCGGTGATGAAGGAGGATTATGGATTTTTGGATTTAAGGGGTATTTGTTTTATTGAAATTGGTTTGAATGGGAAGGATAATTTAGTAATTTTGTAGCTTAAATTAGGGCGATAACAGTAACACCCATACTACTTTTTTTTATAACCCAAAAACTCAGTCCCACGTGTCATTTTATGACAGCGGGTTCTACTACTTAACAAGTTAATCACCGCCAACTCAACGACAGTAATCCTTTACTAACGTTATAGAGCTCCTTAAAAAGGAATTGAAATCCGCTTTTTTTCATTGAATAAATGGTATTAATCCTAAATATTTAACAAAAAAACAAGGAAATCTGTTAGTGTCCTACTTTCCTTGTTTCACTGTTCTTTTGAAGTCGACGAAATCTTTGAACCAAATGAATAAAGGCATCTTCTTGTAGTATTAAATATATTTTTTACTTCAGAAATAGTTGTTTAGAAGTATTAAGGAATAATATAATATATATTATATAAGTGGCAATTGCTATCTTCTTTGTGGTATATATATAGTAGGTATTAATTATTATAATGCACATAAGGCAAGTACGTACGGCTGAAATCATCACAAAAATGCTGGGTTGGTCCAACTCATATGGTGGTTGGATTAACCGGTTTGAGTTTGAGTTTTGGTTGGTTTCTAGAAGATCCTCTATTTTTAAAATAGAGAGTTATTGTCTAGTCAAAAGTAAAAAGAGGTGACAGCCTTTCATTTTTAGAGAGAGAATCAGAAAAGAGAAGAGATAAGGAAAAAGAGAGAAGAAAGAAAGAGCTGCAGTTTTTCGTTTTTGAAGCAGGGCAGCCTGTTCAAGTGAACGTTCTGGAATATTGAACCGTTGGATCGTCCTGAAATTTGGACAGTGGGTTCGCAATTATCTGATCTTCAATCTGACCGGAGGGATCGTCGGTTGGAGCTCTATTTCGTCGGTAATAGCTGCTGGACAGAAGGTGTACGAATCTGTCTTTTGGTATCTCTAAACCTCTCTTTGTCTTGCTCTTGTTCTTGTTATCCACCATGTTTGTGAGAGCTATTGTGGTTGATTGTTGATCCAAGAAGGGTGTTCTTGAGGTGTTTGTAATCCTCTAGCTAGTCTAGAGAGGACTTGTAATCCCACCAAAGTCTAGTGGAGTTGTGGCTTGGACAAAGGTCCCGTGGTTTTTCCCGATTTGGGTTTTCCACGTAAAAATCGTGTGTCTTGTGCATTCTATTCTTGCTTGTGGTTGCTGCCCGGTTTCTCAACAAAAAAGAAGGAAGGAAAGGATTTTGATAGAGCATTCATATGAAAGGAAAGAATATTGACGCCATTGGGGTTTTTTTTTATCGTATATATAAGTGGGTGATCTTAAACTTTGTTCATCAAAACCTTCTTATTATCGTTGGAGGCACAGGAAGTTGGGAGAAAACAGCCTTCAAGGAAACATGGAGAAGACGGTGAATAAATTCGTTCTTTTCTTTGCTCTCCTGTTTTTCACCGCAGGTAAGCATTAGTTGGTTGGTTTTACTTACAACATAATTGTATTAAAAGACTGGGATTTTGCTTATATACATATGTTAAGTATTGGTTAAAATAATTACTTATAAACGTGTGTCGATTGTGATTTGAAGGTATGGAGCTGAGAGTTGCAGAAGGAAGGGGACCTATCGTTTCGTTCAAATGCAATGAGGCTGTAGAATGTTCGGAGTGGTGCAGGGCTGCTGAGTGCCATGTTTGCACTTGTTTAAATCACAAGTGTATCTGCCGTGCTGCTGATGCACTTCACCATATCATTAATCCTCCGTCTCCAACACACTGATACCTTGTGATCGGTGCCTTTCAGTCTTAATTGTGTTTGTGCTCTTTTGAAGTATAAAGCTTTTGCTTATCTACACTTACTTTTATAGTTGCGGCAGAAGAAGGATCCAAGTGGTGGGATATCGTGCTTGTTTTAATTTGTTTATATTACTTTTTCGGAATAGTTAAAGATGCTCGGGTTAATTGCATGGTTGGTCACTTGAATTACTAGTAAATTTCATGTTAGCCACTAGAATTACTTTATTCCATTCGTAGTCACTTAAATTAGGTTAACAGTTCAAGTTTGGTCACTGACCGTTAAACTCCGTTAACTTTTGTTGATGTGGCGGTCAACTCTTATAGTTGACTGTTAAATGAGTGACGTGGCAATTAAAATAATAAAAAAATAATAAAATTTAATTTTTAATAATTTCCACCTCATTTGTTCAATAAATTAAAAAAAAATTAAAACAAAAAAATGACATTTTTTTTAATAATTTCACAATAATTAAAAAAATTAGTTAGATCTAAGCAAATTCCCTTCCTATCGATCCTCTCTTCCTCCAGATCGAGCTGCCTTCAACTGGTCCTGCTCTGTAACACAGCTAATGAGGCGCCCCACCACATCTCGAACCTGCGCCTCGAGGCTGGAGGATCGCTCCTACGCCATCTTCAGCTGCTCGTTTAAGTCTCTGGCCTCCATCCGCGCCTTCCTATTGGCCTCTGCAAGAAAGAAAAGAATGGAACTAAGTGATGGCCAGACCAGACGGAAGTAACGGAACGGAAGACTAACTCTTTATATTAATGGTCTGTGTAGACGCCATGTTTGCTATCTTTAGCCTCACAAGACACTCTGTTTTGCTTTTTTACCTGAACAGAGCTATTTGAAGGACATTGTAACAAGCAGAGGAACACACCAGTGCAATATATAGCGCAGCAATGAAGACTGGCTGGAGAGATCTCGAGCCTCAAAGCAGTGAAATGAAAGGTTACCGAGAAGTCCAAGAAAGAACCCTTCGAATTCAGCAGACCCGATCGAGCAGAAAGTCAGAAACAGAGCATTCAAGATTTCAAAGTCTCGCCCAGCGAGCCGACAAGTAAAGATGGGGTGGTGCGCTCGTTTGAGTTATCTATAATTTGCAATAGATATTGGGATTTAAATTTTGCTATTAACAATGCACTCAATAAAGCATATATACGAGGACTCGAGGAGGGAGTCTAATAAGACTTCTCTTCCAGCAAAAACTAGCACCAATACCACTCACAAATCGCGTTGCCACAAGGAAAAACAGAACATATGGAATGCACAAGGCTACAAAAAGGCCAAAAGGAGAGGATAGGTGCAACTCCATCGCTTTGGAGGAAGAGAGGAACTAGCAACCATATCCAGTAGCAGTGGAGTGGATGGGAATTTGCTTAGATCTAACACATTTTTTTCAATTATTGTGACATTTTTTGTTTTAATTATTTTTTTTATTTTATTGTAATAATGAGGTGGAAATTATTAAAAATTAAAATTATTATTTTATTATTTTTTAATTGCCACGTCACTTATTTAACAGTCAACTATAAGAGTTGACCGCCACATCAGCCAAAATTAACGGAGTCTAACGGTCAGTGACCAAACTTGAACTCTTAACCTAATTTAAGTGACTACGGATGGAATAAAGTAATTCTAGTGGCTAACGTGAAATTTACTAGTAATTCAAGTGACCAAACTTGCAATTTAGCCGTTAAAGATCGTACTAAAATCTGAATTGCTATTCGTCGCCCTAAAATTCAAATTTTATCGCCCTAAAACAAAACAAATTGACATATTTACCCTCAACCCAATCTCAATTCTAGCTCTAACCAAATAATCCCTTTCCCAACCCACGTCCGCCGCCCTCACCGGAAAAAGAATCGTCCCCTCCCCTCCTCTGCCCCTGCCCCAAACCCAATTTGCTGTCGCTGCTGCTATTCGAACGCCGGCGGGAAGGTACTGTGATCATTGTTTTAACATTAATCCCTAATTATATTAAATTTACTTTAATGTGCTGGTGCTGCAAAATCCTTTTCAACACCCGATCCTACAAACAAGCATTGACAGAGACACAATTCTGAGATTTTCTATTAATTCACTATGCTGGTGCTGCAATAACTAAAGACAAGAGGAACCAAGAAGAAAATCAAACCCATTCCAACAACCAGGTACTGAATCCACTAAATTGAAGCAGTTCAAACAGTTCCATGCTTCGGGGAAAACCCCCAATTCATTTCTCGCGGTTAAAACCACAGTTCCTTCTCCGATCTCGTGACAGAAATTGAGACCGATCGAATTTCCGGCCTCTTTTTCTGACCCTCTCACCACCGATTCTTGGTTATCGGTGGATGTTTGAATTCCACTGGTTTAGGGGTTAGAGATTGAAATTGGAAATAGGGGTACAAATGTCAATGTATTATGATTTAGGGCGAAAAAATTTAAATTTCAGGGCGACGAATAGCAATGCCCAATTTTAATCCCTAATCGATAACTCTGCTGCTGTCCATCCCACCAACCGTACGACCACCGCTACCGCTCCCCCAACCTGCCACCGCTCCCATTCCCCCCACTTCGCGCGACCAGCTTATGCGGAGGAAGGAGAAAGAAAAGCACGAGGTAGAAGGTTTGAGCGCTGATCTGCCTAGGAGAAGGAAGAAGAATCTTGCAGCTTGGTACGCCGCTGCTGTTCCCCAGCCGTCGGCCGACCCGCTGCTGCTGTTTCTTTTTCCAACACAGGCAATTTCATTCGTTCATTTCTAGCATTCATTCAAGAACATACAGATTGCAAACACAAAGGCGGGCACCAAAGATCAAACAATTTCCGACTTTTTATCATCCACCCTAGAGTTAGTTCATTTCATTGCAGAATCAATCAATGAATGCCTGCAAAAACACACAGATTGAATTATAAATTCCTAGATGCCCATGATTTTTCCATAAACATTCGAAGCTAACTTCAGAAGCCAACAATTACCATTCCAATTTATGCAGTCTAATGATGATATGAAAATGTAACTAATTTGCAGGGAAAAGTGAAATGGAATTTAACTGGTACGAATACGATAGTGAATTAGTTCAGAGCGACGCGGTGGTGGCAGGAGGCGAATCGATTAATGGTGGTAGCGCAGTGGGCAGGGGGCGAAGTAGTGGTGGTTAATTAAAGGTATTTAAGTCATTTTAATGAAAGTTAGGGCGACAAATAAGGAGTTTTAGGGCGACGAATAGCAATCCCATTAAAATTGGGTATAGGGGTATAAATGTGAATTTAGTAAGATTTAGGGCGAAATAATTTAAATTTTAGGGCGACAAATAGCGATTCAGCATTTTTTTGGGGTAAATTATAAGTTTGGTCATTCAAATTACTAAAAAAAGTTCACGTTTAGTCACTGAAAATACTTAATTCCATTTATGGTCACTAGAATTAGTTAAACATTCCAAATTTGGTCATTTTCCGTTAGTCTCCGTCAGCCTCCGTTAACACCGTTAGTTTTTTGTTGACGTGGCTAACAGAATCGTCTAATCAGCTTAATTTAACTTATAAAAGTGGATATCCAATATCCAACCCGCCACGTCTAATCAGCTAATCCAGTTTTCCACGAACGAACGAAGCATGTTAGAGAGCGAGTGATGTCGAAGGAAAATTGTGGCAAGGAGGATTCCGACCGCGTCTCAGTCGGCAGACATATTCACTAAAACTTTGGGAATGGAGCAATTTCAGTTCTTGTTGTCCAAGCTGGGTATTCGAGATCTACTAGCCTCAGCTTGAGGGGGAGTGTTGAACAAGACCACATTGTATATATTATCTTGTTGAAGGACCTAGTAGTACTTTTCCCTTTTGTACCCTAATACGTACGTGAGAGGTATTTAAGACTGGCTGATGTATGTCTGCCGCACACACAGAGGAAGAGCAGTTTTAACTGCGTGATAGTAAGGGATCATCTGAGAGCGTACGCTCTCCGTGGAGTAGTCTCGTTCACACCGAACGGGGAAACTACGTTAAATCGTTGTGTCGTTTGCTTCCGCATTTTAGCTATTTTGCAATTTTAATGGTTAATCATCCTTTGATTGGCAATTACTTCAGCCCTATGTTGAAATCTGTGACGAAGAGAGCTTAAGTTGATTATGTGATGATTGAGGAAGACCTAGTAGAGAGAGAGGACTTTTTTTTTTTGACAGGGAGAGAGAGGACTTCATTGATGCTCTTTTAACCTTTTTCCCTGGCTGATCATATATAGAGTGAATGGACTCCTGCAGTATGTAAAATAATGCTGACTTGTTATGGTTTATTGAAATTGCAGGTGCCTCTTACTCTAAGATTAATCATGGATGGTGAGGTGAGTTGCCTCATTATTTGCTGGCTAAGGATTTTATTTTGCATGTTATTGGTGAAATCTCTGTCTCTGGTGCAACCGTGCAACATACAAGTCTATGAAGTTCATTGGGACAACCATTGAAAGATTAAGCGTGACTTACTGTAACTTATACATACGGTACTTTATTAATGAGTAATTATGGGAAAACAACTTTACAATTTCTTACTACCCATATTTCATATAAACAGGCATATAAACATTATTCCGTAACTATAAAATTGTAAAATCGGATAACGCGGAAAGAAAGAACACGAGAATTTACGTGGTATCCCCGTTCAAGATGAACGAGACTAATCCACGGGAGCAAGCTCCAGAGAAGGGTTTCACTAGTAGGCGGCCGAATAGAAATCAAGGCCAGTAGTTCTTGTTACACGTCTAAGCTAGCTGCAGGATATTTAACCTAGGGGATTAGGGAATTAAGTTACCTAATTATAAGATGGTACTCATAATTAAACAGGGTAACTATTTACATCCCAACACTCCCCCTCAAGCTGAGGCATGAAGGTCACAAATGCCCAGCTTGGACAAAAGTGAATGAAACTGCTCAGCACCCAGAGCTTTGGTAAAAATATCCGCCAGCTGTGAAGAAGAGCCGATCTTCAAGGGAGCAACTTCGCCTGTAACAACGCGCTCACGAACAAAATGACAGTCCATCTCCACGTGCTTAGTCCGCTCATGGAAAACAGGATTAGCTGCGATATGAAGAGCAGCCTGATTGTCGCAGTGCAAGGGAGTAGCTGCCGGCTGAGGAACACCAAGTTCCGTGAGTAAGAAACGTAGCCAT